CAGGATACTTAAAAAATGAATGAATACTTTGTTGATTAATTAATAATAATTAAAGACAACATATCTATTTTTCCCTGATTCTGGAAACAGAGTACTGTTGTAACACTTGTTGCACTGATGTATGCACCTATACTTCAAAATTGATTTGTCCCCATGAAAAAATTGAAGATATACGAAATTTTCTTAACAAAATCTCTGCATATGATGATTTTCAAAAATTTTGGATTATTTACTGGTCTGCTTCGTCTGACGAATACCGTATAGCAGTGGTCCCGAAATTTGGATCGTCAACTTATGTAGCGTTACGATTAGTTATGCCGTTTTAGAGGTAAAAAATTGTGTGAATGTGGAACCAATTTCAACATTATTTTCACTGTTTTTATCTTTATCATTACTTGAGAGTTTAGGGTTACGTAAAAAAAGATAGGCATCTCTGCAATTTATAGCATTTTACAGTGAAATTGTTTCAAATAAAAGTTCAAAATTTTGGCCACCTATAAATATTTTAATAAGAGGTCTACATAGTTATGTAAAAATATGTATGTATACATCAGTTATTTGAAAAACATGCAAATTTAGTACTGTTCTATTTATCAATTAATAATAACCTGCAAAAAAATTAACACTGAGGCTCCTGTACACATCGTTTAACATCTATTAAGTGATAGTAGAAAATGTTTAAACACTATTTTTCCATACTCCACTGAAAACAATTCTTTATCCTGCATGTAGAAATGAATATAGTTCAGTTGCTCCATGTGCAAAAAAAAATACAAGGAATAATATTTCGCTGTAAATAACTCTTTAGCAAAAGTTCATATATTCTGTTATTTTATATATCTGCATAATTATTCCGTCTAGGGTAAAATTTCAAGGACAATAATACGCTGCGTAGAAATTTGAACTATCCAAGCAAACACGTGCGACAAAGAATGCTGGATTATCAACTGGCCAATAATCGTATTGCTTATCAGCATGACGAGTAATCATTATATAATAAGCAACAATGAGGGTCAGTGCCATAAAAATCTGTAGAAATATTTAATAACATCTAATTACTTCACTTTATATTTAGAATGAATCAAGTTATTCGAATTATAATCTCGTTTTACGAAGTGCAGTTTATTTTACACGATGTACAAGTGTTCAGTAAAATCGTAAGTAATTTTTTATGGGCAGTTGTAAATGTGTATATGTTGTTTTCTTTATAGAGAGAAAAGCTTACAAGAAAAAGATGCAAAAAAATATATATTCTTAATAAATTGTGCTGTTCACCGAATTCGTCATCGGAATTTTGAAGATCTAGTAAGTCACTTAATTAAATTAGTGTTAAAAGCTTATATACCGGGTAGACTGAGTTACACAAACAGAAAACCCATTGTGGTGTGGCAGTTAGGTATATTTGGTGCGATAGGAAAATGACTGAATGTTAACGAGCAAATCCTTTTGTAAAATTTTAACATAATTAGATAATTTGATCTAAAACCAAATAGGTACGACCACTTGGTACTAATAGAAATAGTAAACAAACATTTCGCTCGTCGCCACAAGTTAACAAATCACCTCAAAATACACCAAAAGACGTGGGAGTTTGAAATGGTGACGTAACGTTCGACACGTTTAGTGAAGATGGGCGTCTTTGGCGTCGATTTTTTGGAAGGCAGCCAGTTGAATGTTTACATATCATATTCGTTTGTAACACTCTACTTTGGTTCATCTAAAGATGGGACGTACAAAGGTCGGTCAGAATAAACGCCATTCATTATTGGCAAGTATGGTAATAAGTGATCTATTTAAATGCTTAAAATAGAACTTGACAATTGGTTTGCACTCTTGACATCGACGAAAACTCAACGTGGTGTTGTGTGTCAACTGCTTTCGTTGGTAATTGATGATGTACCAATCTTAGAATGTTCACTCTAGCCGAAGCTGTTCACACATTGTCGATAGCAAATACATATATGACGCAACTTCTTAACCAAACTAAAAAGGCATCCTACTAGAATTAAATAAATATTAAATTACGATAGTTGAACAGTGAAACCCAACTGGTTCTAGCAAAGATTGAATATAATTGAAATTAGGCTAGATTGTTACCAAAAATTAAATAATATGTTCTTATGAAGAGTTTTTCTGAAATAAGTATTTATGCATTACACATTATCAGCGACAGGAAAATATCGAAAAAAAAAAATGTTTGAGCACCTACTTTTATTAGAAATCACTACAGTATGAATGTAAATAACAATAGATTTTTAATGCTGCAGGAGTATGTTAGGATTACAACTAGAAATATTTTTAATATACTTTGGTTATGATTGTTTTTTTTTTGCATTTGAAAACTATCTCTGTTATTATTTCAGAACTTCAGAAAAGTTAAACTGTACAGAGATGGGAAGGTAGGGAAGTATTGTAAAAGGGTCCATTTGACGAGTGGCCGATCTCTTCTATCTCTTCCGCCTGACTATTTTTCTGCTTTTATTAGAGCCATAGTTTCCGAAATCACTATATTATATACATTACTGCTAAATGCTAGATGATGAAACGCTAGTGACAATTATTGTTTGCTCATCTCTACCAAAAATCTGACGACGTCATCCCACAATTTTGGGACCCAAAAACGTGTTTCAGTTCTGCAAAATAATATGTTTCTAAACTTCTGATAGTAGAATTTTACAATAAAGTTTTACAATCTATCTTATCCCATTTCTCTGAAATTTTGCATCTGCTTTAGGATTTTTGTGAATGTTGTAAATCACTAATCAGGATGTGTCTATTGATACAAAACTTCATGACGTTATCACAAAACTTTGATAAGTAATTCTCACCTGAAATGTACGTAATATCAATACTTGTGATTATTTAACAATGCTTATAGTGAATGTGTTAAAAACATGACTGTATCAATAAATTTATTTTATCTATTATCTCAGAAACAGCTGTTTTAATTTTTTTTTAGATATTCGAAATACAGTCACGTTATGATTAGTCTTAAATGTATATACTTGTATATTTATCGTACCTATATACAGGTTAGAATAAAATTCCGGAACCATCGAATAACGTTGTTATTTGAAAAGTTTTTTTTCTGAAATTTGCTTTAAATATACACATAGTTAAACATGGCGACGTGATTACAAAATTTTTCCTTTTTTTATCGCTCTCGGTGTAACAGACAGGGTCGCCCACTTTTTTTTGACATTTCCTAATAAAAAACTACTTTCAGAAATTATCAATATGTTTGTTTATTTCTACTGATAGAAAAAAACAGAAAAAAATTCACAAAAAAAAAACATCTAATATCGTAAAATCATACATAATTCATTGAGACATTTTGTTGATCAATTACATCACTGTTAAATTATTGTAGTCCCACTTAGTATCTTATTTATTAGTATTATCAAAGATGACGTGATTTTACAATATTAGGTATTTTTTGTGAATTTTTTTCTATTTTTTGTATCAGAAAAAATAAACATGTTGATAATTTTTTAAATTAGTTTTTTATTCTGCATCAGAAAATGTCAAAAAAAATCTGTGCGTTGCATTAAAAAAAAGTAGGTGTGCCTAACGAAAGCGACAAAAAAAGGAAAAATCAAGTCACCATGTTCAATTATATATCCACACCAAATTTCCAAAAAAAAGCTTTTCAAATAACAAAGTTATTCAATCGTTCCGGACTTTATACTAACCTGTATATTATGTTTAATAAACTAAAACTATTTTTTATAGATAAACTTTTGAAAAGGTGAGGGAAATTCTGTTTAAATAATTTTACAGAATTTTTTAAGAAATTCATTTTTTAACTGAGATATTTTCAGAGAAAGACATTTAGCATCAAATGTTAATATTTCCCATCAGTTCTTTACACGCTGCGATTTAGTTCACTGTTTACGTTTCAGATATTGTATTGAGTGAAATATAATGTAAATACATAAAACACATGATGATATCAATGAGTGAAAAATATTTTTCAATTCGTTAAAAGTTTTCGACCTCTAGGGTTAATTGCAGGCGTTAGTTTGTGTGTGGAATAAAATTTTATTATTTCAATAATAATAACTTAGTTCAAAAATAATTTTCACTAAACCATTTTTCTAAACTATTAAATTTTCCGCAACTGAAAAAACAAGTAAGAAAATTTGTCATCGTGTTTATTTTTTTTTTACAAAACCTCCATACGAATACATACAGCTGTGAAATAGGTGCGGGGAGTAGATGATGGTAATTTATTTAACCATTTACAGTAGCGTTTGATGTACACATAAGGTATGGAAAATTTTTACTGTGTACATTCAAGATATGAGGCATGGAATAATCTGGTGTTCAATTCAAATTTATGTGGCAACTAGTACAAAGCAATAATGTTTTGTTGTTCTGATTCATAAGGTCCAAAATGTGCAGAAAATCGTCTTACATAACTGATCGAATTGGTTACTGTTATTTCACATGAGACACAACTGACCAAGTGGTTACAGTAACAAGTGACTTAAAATTTTGTAAAGTGGGTTACTTTTTAATCTATTAATTCTTTTCGAAAGTATAATTTAATTTAATTAATTATTATCACAAAAATCTTGTAAATAATGAAATTCACTTCTTGAACAAACCACTAACTTACTAATTAAACGTCAAGCTACATACATCTTATTAGTTAGACTTCAATTAGTTAGTCGTTTGTATTAACTTTTACCTTTATTGTTTATTTTACGTTATTTTTGTTGACACTACAATAAAGATAAACAAAATTATTTCATTTAACTGTGTTACGCCTTTAAAACAATCCATCAATTCTTTTATTTCTCGGGGTATAGCTAAAATAAGAATTGTACCTAACAGTTTTTTAAGAGTGTACAATTTTATAATGTTTTTGTGTTTTATGGGTCGCTTTAATTTTTTCGTTTACGCTCAGGAAGTATTGTAATCGAGTCCGTTGACCGACTCCGTTTGTCTGCCGTCCCGGAATTTTTAGCAATGCAAGGGTTCACAAAAAATCGCAATAATGTTATTTTTAAGATTTTTATTTGCAAAAAAAATCTAAAAGGTTACAATTTTCATATAATGATATTTCAGTTTTTCCAGATAGATCACTGTGTATTTTATTACTGTATCTTACGGGCCAATTTCAAGTTGGATTTACAATTTCGCAAGTCCTCGTTGCCATGGAAGATGCGATGACAGCAGTCGCGAGGACGAATCATATCGCGAATTGCAACAACTGTCATCGAAATTACCATAGCAACGGCACTTGCGATTTCGCAAATCCAACTTGAAATTGCCCCCTTAGTCTGTTTTTCGTTCTCTTGTTTGCGTTATGTCAGCGTGTCTCTTAAAAAAAATTAAAATCGCAGTAACTATCAACGTTAAATACAGAAAATACTTAAGAAAAAAAGAAAGAGAACAAAAAATATCGATATTTGAAAATTGCAATAATATTGTCTTTGCAAACACTCTGTATATTAAGACTTAATTTTATTTAGATATACAACAACAAAAGTGCATACCTTTATTTATTTTTCTACAAAATATTGTAACACAGATTTTAAAAATAAATTGGGGTTAGAAGAGGTAAATTAGAATATGTAAAAATATGTAGGTTTTCTATTTGAAAAAAGTAAGATGTGTGTTATGCCTTAAAAACAGAACACCCTGTATGCACAGTTGAAAGTATTTTGAGTGTACGGTTCGCAAAGAACCGCATAACTTTCATTTTTAATATTTTTACACACAGTGTTTACCCAAAATCATTGACTGATAAAATTAATTAACTGATATAAAATCTAAGCTATTGGAAAATTAACAGACTTGGGACTTGGCTCAGTTCAAGTTACGGACACAAGGCACAAGTTGAAACTTGTTTCAGCACAATGCGATTCACGGTGCGAGACGATTGCCATCTTCTCATTGGTTGATATCCTCTAGTCAGAGATTAGCGTCACTGGAAAAAATAGCATGGTTATCGAAGGTACAAGTTTTCACCAACTTTTTGGGGAACAAAAAAGGAGATAATTACAAAGTTTTGTCTCTGAAAGTGCACATCTTACATTCTCATTTGGATTTCTACCCTCAGACTGACTACCTACGGGCGATGTTAGTGCCGAACATGACGAGTTAAAATAAAAATAGGGATATATTTCAAGTGATATAATTAATAACAACAATTTTTAATTCAATTCAATCAATAAAATAGATTGTTGCATACATTTTTTGAGACATCCTGTATATGCAGTACTGAAAAATGTGGACGCACTGTGTTATTAAATCACAAGTTTAGTGTATAATATTTTGAAAACTGAGATGAGATGTGCCTTTGAGTTTCTGGAAGTCATGAACAGTTAAATTTTTGATTAACGATTTATCAGGTCTATGATAATGGCAGTGGCGTATCTAAAAATACGCGCGTCCCTCTAATATAATACTAATAAATGGTGCTTGATTTGATTTTTACAGATTTTGACTTTATAACATTTCATTTTACGCTGTTATTTTATATTTTGAATCTGGTGACTAAGTACGTTTGAAAAAGGGCATGAAAGAATAACTTGCGAAGGCTATGAACACTGATGTTAGAACTATTGTGAAAAAATATATAGGATGTTACTCACTTAGATTTCATACAAAAATTGTTTCGCTTCAAACACTGTTTTTGGTAGAAAGTAAAGATCTCAAGAAAAAATGGTGGGACAATACACAACCTATGGAAACTGGAAATAAATTACTTTCCATGTATCCTTTTTTGTAAAGTTCATTAGAATTTGCAGTTTTATGATTCATAAATGAAGATTATTTTTCGAGAATTAATTAAAATCACTGATTACTTTTGTTCGCCTTTGAAAATCTCTGTTTTATTTTACGTGGAAGCTTAAATACTCCGTCTTGCCGACCTTTCCTTATATTGTATAAAACAATAACGAATTAGCTATTTTTAAATAATTTCTTTCATTATTTTCATGAATAAGTTGATAAAACAGGTATGCATGTTGCGTCATCTAGAGCCTCAGTTATTTCTTAGCTCAGTCATTTTACCGTATTTTAGAAGTGTACTATTCTGATTTTAATTTTTCTTTTAAGGATGAATTTTGAATTAAACTTTTTTAATGAATTTTTGAAATACTAAGTATTACTATTTTTTATAAGTATAAATCGGCAAGTCTGGGGATAGATTTTTGTTGTAAAAACTCATGGTCATGTCGAGCATAATGTAAACACAATGACGATAATAACAGAAAAAACAAGTCAGGTGAAAATTCGTCGTTTTTGAATTTTTTAGAATAACAAGCCCCCAGACGTGAATACCGTCACAATATTTAAACGCGCACATTTTAGGAGGAGCATGCTTGTTATATATTCAAGCACGACGCATGTGCGGGGCCTCCCTCTTATACTTATAGTTACGGTAAAGCTCTTTATATAATCAAATTGCAACAAGCTGTGGGGGTACCTACACGTGTGTCTGTTAGTGTTATTTGTAAGAAGAAAAAAATGTCGCACAAATCTGGAACTGTACCTCTACATGAGGCCTGCAAGGTATGTAATTCAATATATTTCAGTTTTTTTTTAAATTGAGCGGGCTATAATTAGGCGCCAAAATAACGCAATAAAATAATTTTTGAATCATTGCCAAATGCTTCCGTTAATGTTAGTTTATAATTCATATGATGCAAATATTTTTTTTCATTTAAAGCCGGTTTACTTTTCATATTGAATCAACTTTTTCTAGGTACGTTTTAACGACGGGAAACATTACCAAAGGAAATCATATCAAATTTTACGATAACTTGCGCAAATAACTTCCGCTGTTATAAGTTGCAAATGTTTGCTTTTGCGGGTATTTTGGTGACGTCGACGTTCCTGATATACAGAGTATGATTTTACGTTTAGAATTACAATCCGAAAAATGTAAAAGCCGCATTTAAAACTAGTTGTTTTCAAAATTTTGTTTTCATCGATCTGTCAGAAAAAAAGCAACAGTCTTACCAAATACGTAAACCGACATTCAGAGCGGCATCTGTTCGTTATAAAGCAGTGGAAAATTCCCAGCCGCGAAGCGGTTTCGAACCGCAGTGAAACTCTTTTTTTTTACATTTTTACTCTAATTGGTGAAATAAACAACAATTTATGAAGGACTTTGCACAAATCGTTCAATAATCGACTTTATACCACACAATTTTTGTAAAAAAAGTTGATTGATTACTTCGTATTGGCTGTACGACTATGATAAAGCTGCACCGTTGGCAGTTGTCGCCTTGTACGTAGGTACTTCACTCAAAACTCGACAACTTTCACAACTAGACGTCGACGGCGACAACTTATTAGTTCTTTCAACTTTTTTCGTTATTCAAATGCAAAATTATATGGCACGGTGTTCAAGGTCTTTGGTACCTAATACTTCTAACACTTGATAAAATAATAGACGTTTAATGTTATTCAGAATTTTAATGAACAGAATCATAAAAATTCACAGCTTTCTCGTAACGTTATACTAAGGTGTGTGTAGGAATTTTAGCAATTTTAGGTTAACTTGGTTTTGATACTGACACTGTTTAAACGCAAGTTTTCAGTTAGGGCTCAATTGTTTATTTATTTCGTCATTTTTGTCGGTCATAAATATTTATCATTGTTAAAAGTTGCATGGTCTAGAACAACCTTGGGACTATGTCAGTGGCGGAGCTGTTGTTAGTCCGTCATTCTACAATAGGTTAAAATTAGTTTTCGGCAAAACAGTGGCACCTCAGACAATAGATTTTAACACTTAACGTAAATAATTTTGCTGAAGTTCGACAGTTCTATTATTTTTGGCAAATTATATTAATTTTGACGGAAAGTCATCCCTAGTGTATTTATCAAGCGTTTGCCAACAAAAGATGCTGCGCCATCTGTCATTAGACAGTTTAGAATGCACGTGATAAAATGAGCACGTTTTCTGGAATTGATCCAATGTATTTTGAAATTCAAAAAATTTGGTCTTAAAAGGTTACAATTTCTACTTTATCGACCGGTTTCGTATTTCGCCGCTTACAGATTGATTTATTATTTACCTTATCAAGTGTGTTGCTCATTTTTCATGGTTACATTATGTACCTACATAAAATTCTCGCTATATTTATTGTACATTATTTTACAGTAAAAATTAAGAAACACTTAACATTTTGATCGACTTATGTAGGGGAAATGTTTGTTTAACCCCTTGTAGGTCTTGTTTTGCACCCTACTGCTCTAAGAAACTTCTAGAAATAGCTGCAAACGTTTTCAGTGGAAAAGAACTGTACTAAAGTCAAATGATTGTTATTGGATTGTCGATAAATTTAATGCCTTTTATCTATGTGCGTAGGTAATAATATTAACAGCATGCCATATGTCGCTAAAACAGTCTGCAAACTGTGCAGCATTCGGTGTAGTAATCCTTCACAGTGTTTAACATAACGTGGCTGTTCTGGTAGAACAGACCGTTGCCTTCGTGCTCAATTAGCACTTTATGTTTCACTTCTTAATTAGTAGATTAAATAAAGGGAAAGATGTACTGAGTGTAAAAAAATATTGTTTCCCTTTTCCAAACTGATTTATTGATATGGCTTGCAGCTATGTTGTACACTAAATGCTCTCTCTTTCAGAAAAAATAACCTTGCCTCAATAAACTGCATCATAAATCGGAAGTTCTGTTATATCAATGCCAAAACTCAGTTCCTCTTTGTAGTCCCACATTAAGTTCTATTGTGTTCACTCTCCAATGCACAATTCAATCATATAGATACGTGGGTGTGACACTAAAAGTTTAACGTTGTTTTATATGAATGAAGTTTAAATTTCTTTTTAGCAAGTACAAACATATTTATTTGTTGGCACTTGCTTTTATAGATCAAGGAAAATTCGCAAGGACGCATGTTTTCTTGAAAATTAGCAATTTTTGATTATAAGAGAAACAGAGGATTCATAACGAGGTGGTATTTAGGTCAACTATCTTCCTCGTGGCCGTGTTTAGTGTTTATGAATTTCAAACTGAGCTAATTTTCAATTTTCGTATTAAAATAAGACCCCCTGCCATTGTTTTGTAAATAGAGCATGAAATAAAAAGGCAGACGAAACGACTTACTAGCGTTATTGGAAAGGTAACCTGAGGATTACGGAGAAGGTCATTTACCTGTAACTAAAACTGCGCAATTTATAAATTCAGAGCTAGTGCAGCAGAATAGAAAACTTCGGAATGTTAACAAGTTAAGAGTACTCATAAAACGATTTCTATTCCACTCTGCACTTTATAATAGGTGTGAGTTCATCCATAACGATGCATTGTGTACAAGAGAAATTAAATTTTATTCGGTTTTTGGAAGGGTGGATTTTTTAAATCTATTTTCAATTGTTTGTTCTTGAAAAAAAAACTGAGACTTTTTATCTTCAGTCTTTTAATTACGAAAGTTTTGGAAGTAAAGGAATACAGTTAGAAGTAAATAACAAATTTTTGTTCAGTGAGGATTTTTCAATTTTTTAGCAGCTAATGGTAGTGTTGAGTGTTTTTCTAAAATAAAGCATTTTATATACTGCTGCTTCTGCATCATCTCATCCGACTTTTACCATAATGTACACGTCATACCCTTGTATGGTACCTATCTTATTTCCACGGTGTAAGCAAAATATAGCATCGTTAGCAAATTTATTGTGAATATTGACTCTATAGTCACCTTTAACACTTACTACATATTTTTATTATTATTATTAATTTATTTCATTTACATCAGTCATTTTAACCAATGAGAGAATTTCAAGCACTCCTTGTTTCATGAAGTCTTTAATTTTAGGGTTGTGATTAGTTGATATATAAGGTTAATCTTAAATACTTAGTACAATATTTGTCAATCTGTAAATGAGCACCGACCCACCAAAAATTTAATTCGTTGATAAAATTTAGTGCAATTGTCTTGGGGGTAGTTCACGAAACTTGATAAGGTCAGGTAAGCATTTGCTATTTGCAGTGTCAAGGGTTTTTGTAAATTGTAAGTACTTTTCTCCCAATTATAACTGCGGTTCGTCAAAGTTTAGGTAATTCGCAACAAATAACAAAACTGTCGGCAGTTGTAACGATTCAGTACTCGTAATTTTGACTTAGTTATCAGGTTAACACATTTTAAACACTCCGTTATCTTAATGTAGTTCGTAACACTAGCCTCTGCTGCTTGAATTTTTAATTTAACAAGCTATAATAAAATTCTACATATTTACGTATATAGAGTGAAAAGTAAGAAAGTAACACAGTTGATTAGCTTTTGTTTTCTTTCTGCTCTCCAGAAAACCTCATTATACTGTTAGGATATTTTATCAACGGCTGTTGGTTTAAATACATGAAAAAGTTTAGTTATTTCTAATTTACAATAAAACATTAATTTTTAAAATATCCACCTTGAGTTTGATGCAAATTCAAAGCTAGGTACTCCGTGGGCACATCTGAATCATCTCGACCAATTACGTCTTAAGGTTATACAAGATCACTTCAGTGAGACAAGTAAGGTCTAAACTGAGGCAAGCAATAAATCATTTATGGATTTCGAATGAGTTTAATTAGCAGTCGTAACTTTCGTTGTCATTTTCAACTCTAAACTTTGATAAATTGTTCAACTGACTTCATATTCAAGGAAGCAGGAAAAAACTATGTGTCCAAAATTTGAATGTTCTTCATATTAGTAGGGTGCAAAAAATGTGTAATTTGTCCGGAGTTTACGAAATAAAAATGTTTAGGAATAGTCATTCAGCTTGTGTTTTCATAAATTTTATAGTATGAGGTGTAAGTAATATTTTGCTAGTGTTGCAATTTGCTACGATTCACTAGTTTTAGGTTTAGTTACACTTTTTAGTATCAGTTTTTTTATTGTTTTGATGAAATTTGACACTAAACACTGTATTGTTGGAAGTACTTATTTGCGACTAATTTTTGTCTTATTGTTCCAGCCTAAACTTATAGCTCAAGTTGACCAGAAAAAGGGTGGTGTTAACACAGTAGTAATGACTAAGTAAGTACAAAAGCTCCATGTCTTAACTATACATTCATTCACCGACATCACAAAGCTTCTTTTTGAAGGTATCAAATTTTTTACTTATTTCAACAAAAATCAAATTATTTAATTACAGACTAGTACTGGTGATTGGACTTGAATGATTTAGAAACCATGTATATTTGCAGCCATACGTTAGGTTGCTTTTTACTGTGACTACTACGCACAAATCTGACGTATGCAGGATATTTGCAACGTGATATTTGGGTATATTTGTTTTAGTCTGATACAGAGACACCTACAATATTGCTTTACCCCATATTCGTGTGTTATCACGATAACTAAATATTGGTTCTCTTATCTGTTATGTAATTTTCTTCATGCATATATATATAATTTCATGGCATAATTTACTGCTACATAGAATTACAGCCGATATTTGAAAATTGTTAGAACTGGTCATATTTCAGGAATTGGGCGTAGTAGTATTTATTTGCAATAGCTCGGTTTTTTACTAATAACTGCTAAAAAAAATCAGAGCGAATCATTCGTGAAATGATACATTAGGTTCTCTTGCGTATATACATGGTTTAATCATAGTGTTGTTTTGATTACATTTTGTAAGTTTTGTAAGATTATTGGCATATACCGGAGCTGCTAGAAGTGCTGCTACCGCACCTGTTGCGATGTGGTTGTGCTGGGGAGCTACGGAATTAGAAGGACGATCAACGGTACAATTACCTATATTTCTTAAGTTTAAAAGTACAATTTGTACAGAAAAGTATTGTAGACTTACAAATTCAAGTTTTATTCCTTCCTTCAGTTGTTGAACGTAAATATTTTTTTTACATTTTTACATTCTTTCAAACTCATCCGTCAGTGTTCTTGTCCAAATTCCAAGGTTTTAGCCAATTTTTGTATTGATTTCTTATCTATATCAAATTCCACTCGTGTGGTTTATATGCATAGAGATAATTGAAAATGTTGGCTAAAACATTATGGATATCCTGTTATCCACCTTCCATTTCACTTTTCTTTATGTATGACACTAATATATCTAACATCTTTGTTAACTTGAATGCAAACAAGTCGGGTGTACATATCTAATTCAAGACATTTTCAGTTATAAATGTGACAAAAATGAGGTAACTGTGCCCTCTGCTAATGGCTCTACAGTACCTTTGGTTGATTCTGCACGAAGAGATGAAGAATTGGGGGATTATGACCCGTTTGCAAATCGTAAACTGGATCATCCCACATCGTAAGTGTTATAATTTCAATAAGAGCCATATAAATTGTAACAAATTCTGTTTTATAGGGATTTGGATACCTTGATTCATTTACTAAAGGGAAGCTTAGGCAGTGGAATATTAGCTATGCCAATGGCTTTTGCCAACGCTGGATTATTCTTTGGATTGTTTTGTACATTCGCGATTGGTTTAATTTGTACATACTGCGTACATGTACTGGTAAAAAGTGCACATGCTTTATGCCGAAGGAATCGAGTACCAGCTTTAGGTTACGCAGAAGTAGCTGAAGCTGCTTTCTTAGCAGGTCCACGAGCTGTCCGACAATGGGCCAAATTTGCCAAAGCCATGATTAACCTTTTTCTTGTAATAGATCTTTTGGGCTGTTGCTGCGTATATGTACTGTTTGTCGCAGAAAACATCAAACAGGTCGTCGATAATTATACTGAGAAAGATACACATCAAGATATAAAAATATATATGGCTGCTCTGCTTCCGCTTTTGATACTTGTCAATCTCATAAGAAATTTGAAATATTTATCACCGTTATCAATGATTGCCAATATTCTAGTTGCGACAGGCATGGGCATCACCTTTTACTATCTCATATCGGAAATGCCTGCCCTTGATGAAAGGCCATTTATAGTTGATATCACAAAACTTCCTAAATTTTTTGGTACCGCTATATTCGCTTTAGAAGGTATTGGTGTAGTAATGCCATTGGAAAACAACATGAAAACTCCTACCCACTTTATCGGGTGTCCCGGTGTCTTAAACACTGGAATGAGTGTTGTAGTTATGCTTTATGCCACCACTGGGTTCCTTGGATATCTTAGATATGGACAAGATACGATGGGTAGCATTACGTTGAATCTTCCCCAGGATGAAATGTAAGAAATTTGGAAACTGATTTTTGATATAGTTTTTTCATAAATATTAATTTTAGATTGGGCCAGTCTGTGAAACTGATGATCGCTGTAGCTGTGTTTTTCACGTATGCCTTACAATTTTACGTGCCAATGGAAATTATTTGGAAGAGTTTGAAGAGTTTGTTTGTCAAGAGACCAAACTTGTCAGAATATTCAATTAGAATTTCGTTAGTTATCTTAACTGTAATCATTGCCATTCTTGTGCCAGATTTAGAAGGTTTTATATCTCTAGTAGGAGCTTTATGCCTTTCCATGTTAGGACTGATTTTCCCTGCCATTATTGATTTGATCACGTTTTATGAAAAACCTGGCCTTAAGTGGCGGTTACCGAAAAATATTTTCCTAATCTTGTTTGGGTTTGTAGGATTCGTAACAGGAACATACGTTAGTATTCAAGGAATCATTGAAAAATCGTCCTCGAGTTCATAATTTGGCGGTTTTCTATCGTCTCTAGTGCAAAGGGTCATTGCATAAGTTATTACTCTTCAAGGGCCTGTTAACAATCTTCAACCTTTATCGTGTAGGTATATTTTTTAACAATCTAACAAGCCTTGTTTCTATAATACCACTCCAGGAGTTTAATAATCGGCTGGAAACCGATTATTTTCAAAATTAATTATACAAGTAAAAAGACCTTTACTTTTTGGATTGTCTACGTTATAGGTTTAGATTTGAATTAAGCAAAGCACTGAAGGGGACGGTTAGAAAACGCTTTATTATATAGTGTTAAAAATGTAGACTGCAAGTACAATCTGTGATTGCCAAGTAACATAATGTTTATTTCATGACCCTCGATTTTTTCGCATTGATTCCTTTTTAAAGTTTGTTTTTGTTTTTTCTTTTTTGTTTATATAGTGAGACATTCATAATCATTCAGTTATTTATATGTATCATTGTGATTTTCTTAGAAAATAAGTTGACTAACCGCTTAAGCTGTAATATTTTTTGTGAGTTTTTGTTATACAAATGAAATAGACTCCAGTGAAGGCTCACAATGAAATAATTGCAGTTTATTATAATAAAAGCAGTATTTAGTTCCAAAGGAACTGTGACTTGATGGTGCCTTATATAAACTTCCTCATCTGGTTTTTTCCAGAAGAGGAGCACAGTAAACAAAGAATGTTGTTAAAAGGTGTATTTTAGGTATAATATTTTATGTTCCTTAAAGTTGAAGTGTTAAATCGTATATATCGTTCACGAATGTAAAATTTTAATTTTAGATTTTTTACAGGTACAGTTTCCATATTACCAAGTTTATGTATTAAGCATTTTGATCACCCGTTCTATTATTTTTCCCAGTTTTTTAATCTTTAATTTAAGCACTTCAACTAAGATCTGATTCTTGTGACGTTATTTTGTTTTAAATAAATATATGTTTAATACATAATTGATGTTTAATACATAAATTTAAGTAATAAATCGAATTAAGTCAGGAGTTCCCATTTACTTTTATTATCTTGATATTGAGTAACAGTAAAGTCGTGGTTTTTGATTATGTTGTGTTTTAATGGATTTTCCCCTGCTGTAGTGTCTAGTCTGTATAAGTCTTTATTGCACCTCGTATGAAGAATCTTGTTTTACTGGCGAGATGTTTGTGTATAAATTATAAATGCATTACTGTGCACAGTGTTACTCACCAGGTTTGATAATTTTCCATAGTGGTGCTTTCCTTTTAAACTTTTATGTTACAAATAGTTTTCGTTTGAAATTTTGCAACAATAAGTACCCACAAACGGAAGACGTATTTTATTGTGAATCGTTTTCTGTGAATTAATCTCTTAATTATTAGTTTATCTGTTATAGATAAGATACATAATGATCTCATTGCAAATTATTTCGAATCAGTCGACTAGGCGGGACTTTGTAATTTCCTGTACTTACTAATTAAAATAATCAGTTCACTAGTGTTGAAATTAAAGTTTAAGTACTTAGATTTTTTATTGAAGTTTCAATATTTGGAATTGTAATAATTGCAGCTACATAAACGTTGCAGTTTCGATTTTTTGTTTTATTATTTTTGTATTCAGTATTACAAAATTGTGAACGTCGTTTTAGGAAAGTAATAAATAATCTGTACCATTTAAGGACGTTGTGTACTATAATATAACGGCCTTGGTGTCATCGTCATCATAATTTAAGGTGTACGTGTAGATAATTTAATATGTGAATTAGGTACTTACTTAAAGAAAATCTTTGTTCTACATCGAATTAATTACAAATGTCCTCGATCTGCATGTTACCCATATTTTGTCCTTTTGTTGTGATGATTGTTAATGATGTAATGATTCTAGGGGAAGAAGAATAAAATCACAATTCAAATAGTTACAGAAAAATTATTTATTATGTATATACTTAAACAATGATTACAGTTGCTATATTTTTCCTTTAGCGTCTATCGGACTAAAGCGATATGATGTTGGATATAATACAGGATGCAGAGTTTTATTGGGTGTAACTTTATTTTATTTAGATTAGCCTCTGAATGCTCATATTACCTACACTGACTTTACGTGCGATGTTTATAACCTGTTTCATTGACTTAAACTTAAATGTATTTACCAGTTGCGAGGGGACGTTTTTCAAAAATATGACGAGGATCCATACATCGCTCAAGCTGGCTGAAGGTTTGTTAGACATTTACCCGTGTGATAAATGTAAGTAACTGTAGTTTTTATACTAGGTTGTCTAGTACGTATGTACCACAGTTATGTACCATGAACCAAGGTATTCCATGAACTATTACCACCCGACGAATAGGCAACTCTGAATACATTTCTTGAATTCTTCGCCATTCTTGATGATAGCTTTTTTTTAATCGTTTCGCACCGCATTAAAGCACAAGTATGTTAAATTTGTCATATAAATCGAACGTTTTATTAAGTTTTTCGTGAAAATCGGTGAAACAGTTTTTATAAGTAGTTGCGACAAATTTTAAATAATGGGTGGGCGATTTTGGAGCTGATATCTTATTTAAAGAGTTTTAAATTTTAAAATTTACTTGCCTTCGATCTTGTACGAAATTGGCTTCAAGCTGCTCTAGAACAAACATATGCTAATATTAGACAAGAATTTGCACACCTGACCTAGGTCACACAAAATTCAGGAAAAGGAGTAGGGAAACATGTTTCTACGTTTAGCTTTTACATAAAAGTTAACGATTTTATAATGGCCCCTTACATACCATCGGCAGTTCGACCGGCCGGTGGAAAAACCGATGAACTTTGTTACATATAGCATATAGTTTAATGTTGAATGTAACTTTACCATATATTTTGGTCGACAAACAGAGGTCTCCAGCCAACAACCGTCAATGTTATTTTATTATATTAAATGGCTATTTGCACACTGATGGCGAGTTTGCTGGTACATCAATCGGTACATCTACATTTTTCTTTTAGATGATTTTGAATTTTTTAAACCACATTTTTCTGTTATTTCAGATTTTATTTGAAATTTTGATTTAGTTTTCAACAGAAATACACTTAGTGGCAGTTCTTGGAATCTAATTTTCATTGCATTAACATTTTAAATTTTCTCAAAAAACGTGTTTTAATTTTCGAAAAACAAGGTTTGTTTTAAGTCAGCTAGTATTAGAGACGTAGATTAGTTGTATTTTAAAACTGTATTTAAAAGGAAGCTACATTATTTTGCCACCAACCTTTGTCTTTGAGGTAAACATTTAAAACTCGGGCTATCTCTAGTGCACGTAATCACGGTGTCTCCTAAGCGATGAGTTATTCTCATTAGTCGAGTTTAAAGATTCTTGCTTCTTACAAGGAAGAAGTCTCTATTGATGATGGTCAGTTTGAAAATTTTCATTACTTAATAAAAAATAAACTCGTTGCTGAAAATTTCAAAACATGGAAAATTAAATTGCATAGGGTCCGTGTACCGACTTCTTCAGAAAATCGGTAGGTTTTTAATAACTGACAACACATCTTTCTTGTATGTAACAATGTGTATTGCATTTTGTATGTCACCAAGTTAACATGAAGCACTAATGGAATAGAACTATCAGCATCGCAACGTAATCGTCAAATTTAAAGCGAGACGATTACATCAAAGTTAAAATATCGATAACCACTTTTTTTGACAAACATGGTAATACTTGGTGTTTCGAGTCGCCAAATATGTAGTAAACTTTAGTAGTCGACAAACTGAGCGGTTGTTGGAGTATTCACCGAGTACCAGGAAGTGCTTCATTTAGGTTAGACGATTTTCGGTATGAAATATGGTATTTCGTTATATGAAATAGAAATAGGTACCTTCAAGTTCGACCCAAGCATGCGTTTATGTGCCACAGTTGGCGAATCATTACTTCGCATACAGCACCTACTATTAATAAATCTGGTTATCTGCAGTGCCAGACTAGAGAAATCACATCGATTATTATCAGCGTCAGTAAACGTTTTTACTTGTAGGCAAAACGTGTGTTTGGTCTTGGGATGGATGAGGCCAAAACAATCATGGAGAGAGAGGGCAGGATCAACTGTATGCTGTCCTACTCCTCCATACTGAAAGTTATGGAGAACGAGGCGTCGACTCAGGAAGGGTAGACCCCTATAGAAGAGGCAGAAATCCCAGGGGATGAGGCATAAGTCTCGTGACTCCTAAGATAGGAATGAGATTTTTGGTTGCAGAGATGGCGCTTCAGTAGATAAATTTCATCCATATTAACCTGCAGCATTGTTGTACGGCGACGACTGTTTTGTGTCCTCGCCTAGACAAGATGCAGAACATTATAACAATAATCCAAGTTATCCAAGAACCATGGATCGTAAAATCTAGGATCGCGGGGTTGAGCAATTTAAACGGCACTGTTGTTTTAGGTACCACAATAGAATGTCCAAGGACATGTATTTACATTTCCAGGAATATTAAAACCATCCTCCTACCTCAGGTCAGCTCTAGGGACGTGACTGCGGTAAATGTTAAATTAAATTAAATTAATGGTAATAGATATAACACTGGTTACATGGGATATCTCACAATATATAAGGGAAATATGGTCTGACACTGACGCCTCTAAAGAGTGTCAGATTATAGATGGATGATGCATACGTTAAAATGTATAGACGTAGAGACAAAGAACCCTAGGCTGACAAACTGGGCTTTATACACACAATGAAGAACTGGAAGGCCGACTGGGGCTCTCCGTATAGTCGATACCAATAGAATATAAATCGACAGAAGACATAGAGAAAACTTTGACCATTAACTCTCTAATGTCAACTTATGAGAAAAGTTGCTCCCTAAAGAAAGAAGGCCTGGGCAAAGGTACACCATGGTGGACCCGAAAGCTCAGCCTACTTCAATCGGGGCTAAGAAAACTCAAGACTGGTAAGCTTCTGCAGCGACATAACGCCGACTGCTTCGGCCGCAAGGCTGAAGAGAGTTCTTTCGAAGGATTATGCACATCAATCAGGTTTCTTAAAGAAAGAAGATGCTACTTTTACAGCCACCTCCGAAGAGTCCGCAGAACTTTTGCTGCAGACTATGTTTCTAGGCAGCACAAGAACTACCTCCCATCTAAAAGGGATGTAGCCAGTACTCAACCCCCGAAGGACTGGGAGCTGGGGGCAAAGGTAGTCATGGCGGCAAGACTAGAGTGGGTAGTTGACAGCTTTTCCCCATATAAATCGCCGGGAGTGGACGGTATCTATTCTGCCCTCCTGCAGAGCGGAATGAGTATCAGACTACGCCCTATCTTTGTGCCAATGCTTCGGACGTGTGTGGCTTTCAGATACATACCGATTTCATGGCGAAAAGTAAAGGTTATTTTTATACCTAAGCTAGGACGACAAGATTACACCTTGGCTAAATCCTATAGACCAATTAGTTTAACATCATTCTTGCTGAAAACGCTAGAAAGAATAAGCGAAAAAAAGATTCTGGATACCGCCTTAAACAAGCAACCTCTACATCTAAACTAACATGCCTACATCCCAGGAAGGTCCATAGATAAGGTCTTACACACAGTTGTAAACCGTATAGAGTGGGCGATGGAGAACAAACTCTTTACCTTAGGAATGTTCTTGGATATTGATGGAGGATAAAACGACCTTCAAAAGCATAGAACTAACCCTACAGGGGCACGACGTGAACCCCACCCTGAGTAGGTGGGTGACTGGTATGCTGAGGAATAGGGAAGTACTGATTAATGTAGGTGGCACTGAGATCGAGGCTGTTTTTCTTCTGTACTGTGGAACACTGTCGTTGACTGCCTGATACGACGCTTCAATGACCTTGGCTACCGCACAATTGGATACGCAGACGATCTAGTCGTTTTGCTAACAGGAAAAAATGCAGACACATTATGTGAAATAATGCAAGCTGCAATAACAATAGTCGAGGAATGATGTAGCAACCACACTCTCTCCGTAAATGGAGAGAAGACGAAACTAATCCTATTCACTAGAAGAAGGAAAATTGGCACACTACAGATGCCAAAAATATTTAACACAACGCTTCATTCAACTTCGGAGGAAGTGACATACCTGAGAGTTGTATTGGACTGGCTAATGAACTGGAAGAAGCATGGAGATGATAAAGTGGAAAAAGCACGCTCGGCTCTTCGGCAATGTCGTAGGGTGGTGGGAAAGTCTTGGGGTTTAAACCCCAAAATCGCCTTCTGGATCTACACGGTAATAGTCAGACCGATGCTGTGTTGAGGAGCTTTAGTATGGTGACCAAACAGAAAACAACAGCCCTGCAACTTAAACACGTTCAGAGGATGGGGTGTTTTAGTGTTACAGGAGGAAAGAGAACCATTCCCGCAGCAGCTCTGGAGACATTCTTTGCTTAGCACTCCTTAACCTTTACATAGAGGAAGCGGCAATGAGGCTGTCTGTAAGATTTCACTCTCTGGAAGTATGAACAAGTAAGGCCGTGTAACGAAGCACACTCGGCTCTTGACGGAGGCGTTCAACAGAATACCTCTGTTAACGATGGGTGATGACTGAATGGGCACAAAATTAACATAGGACAAGACATATAGAATATCAAGGAAAGATAATTCAGAAGAAGAAGGCTACATCGATATCTATGTCCGAACAACTGAACAAACAAATCAGTATACCTCTCGTCACCCATACGTTTGTTTTACAAACAGAACTGATGGGAATAATGCTGGGAGTTAGAATAGTTGCTGCATACTTACTGTCAGCAGGTCGGCACTACTAGCCCTGGACAGCTGCGTGATTCGACCTGGGCTGGTTTAGGAGTGCAGATAAACGCTAAGGTATATAATGCAGAGGAATAGTGTAGAACTTTGTTCGATCAAACTCGCGGGCATGTCCTTTTGGGGACCCGAACCGGCAATCACGCCTTCGGTCGTCTTCTCGAACGAACTCGTAAAGCAATATACCCATAGACGCCATGAGCAAATCTGGACGACGTTGAGCAGCTGTTGGCAGAGTAGAGCTTGTATAGCAACACCAGACCGTAAGTTGACGAAATTTTATCTCTCACTTTCAAGGGACAAACTACGTAACCTGGTAGGATTCCTTACGGGACATTACCAGTTTAACAAACATCTGCATACGACAGGAGTAGCAACAGACCCAGTCTGTCGTGCATGCAGTGAAGAAGAAGAAAAAGCTGAGCACATTCTTCGTGAGTGTCCAGCGCTAGCCTCCTACAGGAAAAATTAGAGAGTCCCCACCCTCTGTACCTATTACTCAAGTACATTCAAACAGTTGGGTGGCTTGACGAGTAGAGAAGTAGGAAGACACCCTAATATGGATTTGGGGAAGGCACAGTGGGCCCAAAGGCGAGGCCTAAGTGCCCGTTGGCTACGGTCAGCCCTCATATAATCAGAATTCAGAATCCACCGTCTTTATTGTTGTCGTTGGCATTATATGTAGCATTAGTTTTAGTACTTCTATTACTACTACTTGGTATACGATGAGAGTGTGCTGCTGCCCTTATAACCAGAAATCAACACAAATCAAACAGTAACCACTCTCTCTTTAAAGATTTGGTTTCACTAGTAAGATCCATACTTCCAACGATCCAACTGTGAAACTCAGCTCAAGCGCAATCTAAAATTGAGATAATTATAATAACATGTAATTCATGTTTACGAATTTGAAAGAAGCATGGATTCCATAACACGATTACGATACCAAACATAACATTAGATTTATTTTTATTAACAATGAAAGCTTACAAAAATACTGCAGATACTTTTATTATATTAAAAAAAAAAAAACAGCAAATACAAAAACTCAGTTCGGGCAGACTGAACAAAAATATCATATTTCTTTAAGGTTGATCTGAAAATTGTTTACGAAAGAAGTAAACACCAAATGCTATTGTCAAAATTAAACTTCCTGCCAAAAGTACCCACTGGACTATGTTCACTATCTTCACAGTGTCAAAAAACGACTCTTGTAGTTTCGTGACATATTCATCGGTTAAATTTACACCCTGAGGACAAAAATTATGTGAGATACAGATGTTCTTAAAATAATAGAGAGTGCGTACGTAATCTTCATTACGAATTCGAAGAAATAATGCATATTGACCATATGGTTTTAAAATTGCAGTTGTCAGGGGTCTCTCTCAATGTTTAGCAACTTTGTTCCCATTTAAAAAAAAAAAAACTTACTAAGGACGTTGACAGCATACTAATGATTTGTCTAAATGTTTTTGTGAATTTTGATTAAATATTTTTGTATCATATTTATCATATGTATATTTTCTGACATAAAAAACTATCTTTATATTTTTCCACTTACCTCTTCTACCCATAAAACCGGTAGTACAACTCGGGGAAGCGATTGCATGAATTTGATGTGCTCAATTGGGCGCAAAATAAAATTTATTTGCATTCTAGTACGTCCTTCAAGCGGTGTTCCCGTTTCCTGAAATGTATATCATCGACAATCAATAATCTAGAATAGTAGACGTAAAATAAATGGTTAGACGGTACTTTGTAATTTATGTATGAACTGTTGTGGTAAGCACATGCAAAAACTGAGGTAACACTTTCTTCACGTTATGACACATTTTTTTGTTAGTATACAAAATGTTTTAAACAATTGGTCGCAACTTGTTTCGACACAACTTCCCTCGCACCTAAAGTACAATGAAACATCCAGCATTTTCGAGTTGAGTTTTTTCTTTACACAATTTGGTGATGAGGTCATCAACATTTTTGCAAGGACACGTATATCAACTTGGATTGGTGGATTGTAATACTGAAAATCACAATATTGTATCCCCAAAATTTTCTGGGAAAATGGAGTGAGCCGTTCCTAATTTAATCAATAAAATAAATTGACTCATTCATAAATTTTTTGAGCCACCTGTATAAGCAAATCCCAAAAATATGAATGCAGTGATAAATTACATGTATAGACTGATCATATTTTTCACATTTCAGATAGGATTTATTCAACAAAATTTTGAGGTGACATTATTTTTTTAGGGGATGGGCAAATGCATTTCGATCAAAAATTTACCACTCTTATAATAACTTTCAAATACCTCCACGATTTTGAAGCATTCGGTTTCGTGGTTTCTGATGAAATCAATAAAATAAATTCAGGCATTCATTAATTTTTTTGAGTCAGCAAATCCAAAAAATACGAATGGAATTGTAAATCACAACTACAAACTCATTTACACTTTGTACATTTTAGGTAGGATTTATTCAGCAAAATGTTGAGCTGACGTCAACAATTTTTTGGAGGGGATAAGTTAATAGATTTTGAATAAAAGTTTATCATGCTTAACACAACTTTAAAACGTGTGCAAGATTTCAAAGCAATCAGTTTTGTAGATTGATTCAAAATTAAATTGCAAAATGTTGTTTTATAATTTTTATTTTTTTTTTTTTTCAAAAATCTGGACGTTTTGGGTAAAAACTCAACACGGAGTCATAAACTACATGTGGAGGACTATGCTATTTCATACAATTTAAAACCCATTAATTATGTACAATTTGGAAGTGACGTCATCACATTATTGGTGGAGATGGTTGGAGAAATTTTGGTTGGCGTTTTACCATCTACATGATATAAATATCTACAAAATTTGACAACAATACTTTTAAAATATTCAAGACTCTTGGATTTCGTCATTTTTATGTGAAATCATTGTGCACCAACGCAACGCATCTATTTGCTGGCTTTTATTTTTGTACTCCAAACTCCTGATAATGCTTCTGCGTATTTTGCTCTTGTAATTAAATTAACTTATTGGAATAATTTGAGTGAGTCACTGAGTGTGCGCAAGTCAGCGGTCGTGTGTAAACTAACCATAAACTCTGTACCATAAAGTAATGTGCTTGTCACGTTACCGGGCTTTCAATTGTTTAGTGTTGCAACAAGCAAAAACCGTTTTGAGAGTGTTTACAACAGTTGCACCGATTACACCGATTGTGTCCCGAAAAATGTCTAACCCCGAAAATTTTAAAGAAGCCAAATCAATTTACGATTTTAGTGCGAAGGGTATTAAAGGGGAAGTGATATCACTGGAAAAATACAAGGATCATGTGTGCATCATCGTAAACGTTGCATCGCAGTGTGGTTACACGAAAAATAATTATGCAGAACTCGTGGATCTTTACAACGAGTATGGAGAGACCAAAGGGTTAAGGATTTTGGCGTTTCCGTGCAACCAGTTTGCCGGTGAAGAGCCAGGAAGTAATGAAGAAATTTGTCAATTCATTTCAAGTAAAAATGTCACTTTTGATGTTTTTGAAAAGGTAAATGTTAATGGAAACGATGCACATCCTCTTTGGAACTACTTGAAACATAAGCAAGGGGGAACTTTGGGAGATTTTATTAAGTGGAATTTCACCAAGTTTATCATTGACAAGAATGGGCAACCCGTGGAGAGACATGGACCAAGCACTAATCCTAAAGATTTGGTCAAGTCGCTAGAAAAGTACTGGTGATTTTTATGCGTTGGGATGTACTCATAAAATATTCAGATAATTGTTAAAAATGCTATCTTTTATTATTTATGTAGGTTAGCAATATTAATAAATCGTTTACAATAGAAAGTTATTTGTTATTGATTTCGGTGTAGTGAATATAGTCAGTTTGTTGATTTTTTTTAGTGAGTTCCACAATATGTTACCTTAAAATAATTTCCAGTTGTAAATTTAATTTTCGTTATAGATATAGGCATAATTACACTCAATAAATTAAAAAAAAAGTAAAAGTGCCTAAATATTATTTCTACGTCATATGCAGTGATGGAGACGCAACCCAGAATACATTTTTAAAGGATTCGTAGAACATTAAACGTATAGTAATGCTTTCACGACCTTTTCAGTCCACAGCAAATTATGTAGTAGCTTGGTCGGTAATCAATATTAGGTAAATTTTTTGGAGAAAGGTTGACATTCTTTATGTCGATATGATTTGTCATCAAGTCACCTATTTAAAGTTATGAATTATGTCAGAAACTTAACCATTATTGCCAGCTTAAATAGTCGGCCCAGTACTTTCGGACATTATCGTTCTGATAAAAATCCAGGACGGCAGATAGGCAGACAGGCAGACGGAAACGGGAGACTTATCTCTTCGTAGTCTTGGGGTCATGAAAGGTCGAGGAAACGTAAAAGTAGAGAGTCGGCCGACGGACTTCGCTTACGCTTGCGAAATAAAAATATTAGATATTCATACAATGTCAACCTCTTGCATCGGAAGCATCAGCGTCTCTTTTAAAAATGCACGCTTAACACTGATTGTTTTTACTTGCGGTCACATTGAATGATGACTCAAGGAAAAATCATAAGTGGTAGACGATGAATTTACGATTTCAGTTGGCAAGAATTAAATTGTATTAGACTGTTATGGTTTATGGTATCAAGATTTTACATGATAAACTTTGTTTTGTGCTAATACTAATTTAACAAAAATAAATAAAATTTCAAAAACATTTTTAACTGCTCTATGGAAAATCATCGCGTAATAAATTTTGTATATCTTGCAGAACCTAGATTGACATAAAAAAAGTGTAAATTACCGGCTCCACCAATAAATAGGTTTTGTGTATTGCTTCATTTGGTGATAATCCGTTGACGCCATCTAGGTAAATCTTATCAGCCCACAAGAAGTGTGGAAACGACAGTAAAGCTGGAGCTCCTATATAATATACGTTTATAGTTAGATATTTTGTATTTTGTCCAAATATAACTTACCAGAACATGGTTGCATGTCAAGTACACCATCTAAGAAGCAAGTATTTTCTCCATGTGTACCCAGCGTTTGTTCCGCACAAAAACAGTCTTCCACTTTGTTGGCGAATTTGGATCTTAATGATGAATTATTAGGCGCAAACATATATCCCTTAATGCCTTTGTAGTATTTTTCTTTCAAAAAATTAATTTCAACTGATCTGAAATTCGAATTTGAGAATATCACTTAAGCTGTAGATATGCAATCAGTGAAGGCTATAAAGTAAATATTTCGATTTGAAAAATTAATAGTCTTGTAGAAAATTTTATTGTGCATTGAGGAAAAATTTTTCACAATGTCTCGTCCAAGCTTACACGATAACATCAAAACTAAACGTAGAAAGAAACTTCGGCTGGATGTTTAAAAATTTGCATCAGTTTTGAGATATTAATTAATAAGAATTAATATCAAAGATTTTAAAAAATAAAATACTTTCGAAATTTTAATTTTAAATAATCATGTAGAGAATTCAGAAAATATGTAATTTTAGAAGAAATCTAAAGGTAACTCATTTTCAATTGCAACTATCCATTAATTGTACTGGTTTTCTTTAAAGATATGGCTGTATATTTTAACATATCTGAGAGATGGTAAAAAAATTAACTCTTTAATGTAACCCATAGCGTATTGAAGCTATGGTAATTTTACAAGTAAGGTAAATTTTTCCAAAGATTTTCTAGAACACAAAATTGTCAATGTTTTATTTTTTTGGTTCATATTTTACATTTTTCGTTTTGGCTTATACCTAAGAATTGGTATACTCAAATTTGTTCGGTTTTTCCAATTACATTTTTCTGAATGTATATATATGTATATATATAATATTTCAATTAGTAAGCAAAGTTACAATTAGTTATATCTTTCTAGTTTTGTATGATGTTTTTATAAGCTTGTGGCAGCACAATAAACAGGTGGAAGGAAGAAAGATAATTACGATCCAATTGCTGAAGAACAGTTGCTCTGCAAGCGATATGGATAATTTTTTCAGAATTCCATAAGTTCTATGGCTCGAATTGATACATGAATCGAATGTTTACATTTAGGCGAATGTACTTTGTCAACAAAAGAGATTAAATAACATCATTCTAGAAGTTTTACTTGGGTGTAAGGATTTAAAATGTATGAAAAAAAAGACGTTGTCTGTGGCCTACTGTATGCATGTTCACAGCAGGTTTGACTTCACTATGCTAAAACAATTCAGTAAACATAAAAAAATTATGTACCAATGAGAATGAGTACAGTTTCACAGTATTTTATCCATATTATATTATATCAATATGTATAGTAAGAAAAAACACGATCAAAGACAGTCACGATCAATTCAGTTTTCAAAAATCCATTTATTGCTTTCTTGGTATAACTTTTTTCTGAATTGACCTGTTTTATATTTTACATTTTCCGAAATCATAATACCGAGAATATGTAAAGAGTGTCAGCCTGTGTAAGTGGTTTGTAATAGAGTTAGCGTCTCAAACAATGTATTACTGACAAAATGTGTAACTTGTACTATTACTTTTTTAAAATAAAACACATGTAAATGGAAACTTGTAATATTAATAAAAATGTGTGAGTCATACTTGTTTCAAGTGACGCATTACGAATACATAAACAATTTTTAAAATTTAAATATATTGCTCACCTGCAAACATCGGTAGAATAAATCTTAAAGGTCGATTCTTCGCTAATTTGAGGTGGATACAAACTAATATAGGATCCTTTAACTAAGTCGCATGTACTGTTTTTATGTAATTTATTCCAAAACTGTGTATATGGAGAGTTGTCTATTGTAACTGTTTGCCCTAATGTTAACACATCTTTAATTCCTCTCGTGATCGTATATAATGTTTCATGAGACTTATTTTTCTATAATTCTTTAAATTATATTTCCGCTCACTAAAAATTAGAAATCTTACGTAATTAAAAAATGAAAATTGCAGTGAATCATCTTCTAGTTTATCCATATTTTTCTTCTGTGCTGCCATTTTGCAAACTATATTTTTGGGAAGTTCACATAGAGATAAATGCCGAGGACAAAATTTCAACCCATCGAATAGGAGATCTTTAACTTTTACATTGATAAAAAGGGTGTTTATGTTATCCAGAATGTCAGTTAAACAATTAGATACAGTGTGTGCCTGCCCAAATTTTTCAGAAAGTTGTAAAATACCCTGAAAATTGTAGTGAATATTAAAATACTATTATTGACAGTAGTCTTTATAAAACCTAGTTTTAGTATAACAGTAAAATGTACTTACCAGCATGACAGGATTAGCTACCGTTACGTAATTCGTGTCCGATAGGTTTCCGGAAGCTTCGGAATCAAACTCATATATTTGTTGGTCAATGTAAGATATGGTATCGTCATCTTCATTCGTACCATGTACAAGTTTTGTCCAGTGTAGTCTGATAAAAATATGAGTTACTTACATGAAATACATACATGAACATATTCCTACTTGTAAACAAATGGCCCAATTTCTTTAACTACCGGCTTTTGTCCACTAATAATTTCATTTGGATTTTCTACGTTAAATACAAATACTTTAAAACTAACTGGAAACGGTATTTCTAAAAAGCGGTCATACTGTTCGGTTCCTCTAATTAGTCTAACGTTCTGAAAATTCAAGAAACCATAACGTCACATGATAAAAAAGTTCATACCTTAAAAATTTCGTTCTTAATAAGGTCAGGAAATACACGAATTATTAAAATAACCGACAATACTGTTAAAACTATCGAAATTGTTAAAGATATTAAAACGGTTTTTGATCTGATGCGTGGAAAAAACATTGTACTATGTTCCTACACTGCCGTTCATTGATGCCAAAGACTGAATTGTTTTCTGAAACAAGCAAGAAAAAATGATAAGGTACTTATTATAAAGAATTAGTGTTTGTATTCTAAATTGATTTACCTTGAAAACCTATTGTTATTGGAACAATACTTGCGTACCATTGTAGTCTTCGGTTTATTTATTTTAATTACAATATTAAACTTTCGTGTGACACCGAAAAAGATCCATTAAAAGTTTCACTTTTTAATAAGTTGGATGGGAATAAACAAATATATAAAAACTATAAATGACATAATATATCTGTTAAAGAAATTTAACGAACTGAAGTGGGTATGTACACCAAATGACTCAATTTTGATAAGAGTTCCGTAAAATTCTGACTATATGTAAAAATAACCTTCACGGCAACACATTTGTTTATGGGGTCAGTACTTACCTAGAAAATCTATGCATTCGGTGCTGTGTATAAACTTGTAATGTTATCAGTATGCTTTAACAATTGACATTTTTCCACATAGATCTATCATGTCTTTAGAGTGTAAATTAATTTTAGTGAATAGTTAGATAAAATGTGTATTTTGTTTTTTTTTTTTTATAAATTTATATAGTGATTCTAAATTTTTTAAATAGAATTTTTGATATAAACCAACAGGAATTCAGTAAGTGAGAATGAAAATACACCGACTAACAGCGACACTTGTGCGCAGAAAACTAGTTTTGCAGCAATTAAAAGTATAGTTTTTCGTTATCAATATTTTTCTGTTGTTTCTAAATGTAGGTATATTGCTCTTAATTTACCGATTGAACAATCGGTACACAAATGCAAATAAATCGTGTTTTATCTTGAACAGCCTCGTAAAGGCGTGCTCTTAATCGTTAACAATTTTTATCACGTTTGCTGAGGAAAACTATGTACTTGTTGTAAGTTGTGCCTTTCACACTATATTTTTTTCAGGGGCGGCACGTGCCCTTGTCCCCCCACCCCCAAATTCCCATCTCTACAAACACACTGGACATAGCAAAATAGTAATTTTCAATATTTAAAAAATTGTCCTGAAGTTTATGTCATAATTAGATATTCAAACTAATTTTTTTATCTCTCTCCATTTGTATGAAATGTATCAAAACTTACATCTAAAGATGTTATGTCTTGGTTATATCGTAGGTAAGGTCTCTATAAAAGCGGAGGCCAAATCATAACTCATATAGATGTTTTGTTTATTTCGTTACCATGGAAACCGCGTCTCTAGTCGCTGTATTTGGTTGGAATCGGGTCACATTAGAAATGTTTGTATTGATGAGGCTGATACGTGTTTAAACTCCATATTAATTTTAATAATAATGAAAAAACTTTCAGAGTTTAAATAATATATTTGTAGTCACTGCTACACGTGTTTCGGTACACTTGTCTTTACTATTGTTTATTATTATTATTCTTTACATAAATTAATAAACAATAGTAAAGACAAGTCACCTAAGAAATCGAATTCTGGAGTTTACATGCTAAGTTGTATTGACTGCCCCTTAGTATACATCGGACAAACAGGGAGAAAATTTGAGGAAAGGATAAAAGAACATAAATCAGCATTTGTCAATAAAAAATCAAATTCTACGTACGCGAACCACCTTATCCAAGAACAGCATAATTTCAACGACGAATTCAAAATTTTACACATAGAAAATAAAGGCGCAAAATTAAACGCGTTAGAATGTCTGGAAATAAATAGGTACAATAGATTAAATACACTAATGAACGACCAAACCGAAATAAACAAATCTCCCTTACTTAACATAAATTTGTAAACACTATTGTTAAATCAGGTATAAATTCAGGAATAGCTCTGTAAAAACCCCAGTTTCTCTTCTGCCTGAAGACGGTACTGTGTACCGAAACACGTGTAGCAGTGACTACAAATATATTATTTAAACTCTGAAAGTTTTTTCGTTATTATTAAAAAAAAAAAACATTAGAAATAGTGATCGCTAGCAGTAATTCAACTACGGCAGTTCATTTTCATTCTGCGCGAGTGAAATTGTCTGATTTTAAATAAAAATAATTAATTCAGTTGAATAGTTAATAAAAAATCGTACCCTGTCTTACGACTCACTTACATCGCATCGCATTATAGTAAGTATTTTCCCTGCTGTCTTAAGACAGCCATTGTAGTGCCTACCCTACACACAAGAAAGGTAGCGCAGAACCTATACAGGCAATTACAGGATAATATCGTTACTGCCAACATTATCCAAATTCTTTGAAGAATTGTGTGGAATTTCTTGGACATTAGTAAGGCGTTCGATTGAGTAACACATGATTTTATTGCTAAGAAAATTGTACTTTTAGCAGTTTCATTTGTAAATCTCCTCATGAGCTACTTAAGAATATAGCTTAGTGTGTAAGCTTTAAAATAATATTAATAATATTACACCAGGTATTTCTTATATCAATTATGGAGTTCTTCAAGGATTTATAAGTACTTGATCAATAGTAACCTAAAGCAAATGTGATCCTTAATGCAGACGACACTTCTATTGGTACTACAGGAAGTACTATTGATTTTGTTTATAATAAAAATAAAACAAGTACAATTTCTTTTTTTTTTAGATGAAATAAATTTAATTACTCTCTAATTTGTTATTGATCAAATTAAAAACGAGTCACCTCATTTTATAGAAAATGTAAGAATACCGACTTTATTTTTCTTCATTTAATTTATTTAATAATAATAATAATAATCAAAACATTTTGTTCCATCGTGGATTAATTAATAAGGTAATTTTAATCCTCTGTTTAGAGGAGACAACTCATTCAAATCACACAAATTTCGACGTAATATTCTTTCCGTGTATAAACATAAACAATCGAAATTAAGCATGTAGATTGATAATAATACACTCTTTTCCGTTGGTTATTTACTTTGAATATATCTCATATTCCTCTTCCTTTCTTTATAGAGACGATGTTTCTCGGAATTTCGTCACACATCGTTGCAATGTGTTGCCAAAATGAGCATACCCGACGATGTTGGAAATTCTTCCTGTATTTCATTCCAAACGGCTTGAATCGAGTACTCCCACACGCCTTCTATCTATTTCGAAAATACCACTCAATCATAAATGCTTTCTGCTCCAATGAAAAGTTCTGAAAGAAACTGTGTTTAAGGCAAATATTATTTTTCCAGGAAGCGACAACAAGCAGGAAAATAAGAAAATTAAGGATAGAAGGGACGTTTCATGTGAAGTTGTTAAAATCACTTTTTAAGGATCCTATTTCAACTATTAGATTTACAAAATTATCTCGACAATCAAAATTAATTCTGTTGAAAACGTATGTTTAGCTTTTTAAACAGTTTGGTTATACGTTATCATCAGGAGCGGCTTGTCCTATGAGGCAGGTGAGACAGTGCCTCACCAATGAATTTTACGCCTTATTAGGATTTTTATTATTTTATACGGACACATTTCGGCCAATAATTTGTGTCTTTTTTCTAAAATTTTAAAAATAAATATAGAAAATTATATTGTTATTTTTATCTCGGTAGGTACTCGTTGCTCCCTTAATTAAACAGCGCGCTTAAACACTCGGCACAACCTTAGATCATATAATAAATAGATACCAATACTCAAACTGAAAGCTGTGACTAGACATGAAGCTATCTGTTGCCGTTTTCTACGTCAAGAAGAGTAGTATAATGCTATCCTTGTGTGATCACAACATCTTCATCTTTGTTATATGCATTTCATCTGTATATGTCTATTTCACTTCCATCCTTGTACCGCACCAGCGCAACAAATCGCTTTTGACAGATGTTTCTTCTAACCTCTCTTTCGAGTTGTTGTACAAAAAACAATTTTAGAATTTAGAACAAAGATCCTATTTTAAGTCATGTAATCATAAAGGATCACAATTGGTGCCCAATAATTTACTATTCCTTTCATTATCTACTGTGAATTATTTATAAAATCAAGCTGTCAACATCTTTCGTACGAAGTTAGTTCAGACATACTTCCTAAAATTTAGGCGCGCAAAATTCAAATAGTGATCAGGCAAGGATAGCTTCATTGTCATCCCTCCATGCACGAGAGAGATGTGTGACAGGAGGATGTCGTCACAGGCTCTGCTAGCGAAAGAACACGGCATGGTGGTATCTATTTATTATATGATCTAAGGGCACAACATGTATTTTGTGACGCGAATGAGGCAGACTCGAAGCTTGCCTCTACAGCATATATAGAAATCATGTCGTTAATAGGCAAGCAACCTGCAATACACTCATAAGCGGTATGAGTTGAAAAAAGACAAAATTGAGGCTAGCCTCATTTCCGTGCTTGCAAAAGAGATGGACAACTATAATATTTGCACGCGGAGAACGTGCGATTACAATGCAGTCTGCATTCGCAGGAGTATTCAAAATTAGGCCGTTGATTGTTTTGCCACAAATCTGTGTGTGTATAAATTGATTCAAAATTTCGGTAACAGAATTTTGTCTTAAAAGTGCCTACGTTTGCGTGGGTCGCGTTAGTGCTTTGTGCTTGTCATAATTTGATTTCGGTAATCGTTATTTAAGATTACGAGTAAATCGGAATTTTTCTCTACTAACGTTAAATGACAATGGCAGTTCTGTTTTTTCTACTCTCACGTATGATGATAAATTGTATGTAGTTAAGGAATTAAAACCGCCGGTTCCTGATTTGAGTAAATCGTTAATTGATCCATAAAAAAAATTTAAAATAAATCCGTATTTATATTTTATATTTTTTTCATTTTGTTTTTTGTTATAAATCAAATTAGCTTTATTTTATGTTGTATTTGATCTTTTTCGATATGTTTTCTTTAAAGTTTATTTTAATTTTGTTTTTTGTTAGAAGTTATATTAGTTTTTTCTGACCACGCTTCCCTTTCCTTTTGTCCTGTCATTCTCATCCTTTCCTTGCAAGACCTCCTTACACCTTCACGTTGGTTCTTTGTGGACAGTTAAATGAGTTTACAAATTTGTTTATTTGACTAAATAGAAAATATTTAAGTAATCTTGATTTATTTATATTTTAGAGCGTTTTGTGCTTTGCCTCATCAATTTTTCAAGTCATGAGCCTCATAGGAATCTGTGATCACTTATTAACTTAGGACCGATTTCATAATCAAGTCAAAGGAGCTTTAAAATTAAAGTTAGATTTTTACCATGGAAACACATTGTTGAGACAATGGTTTAAAGCTCCCATTAAACTAATTTTCGTACGCTTATGCCTAGATTTTCTTCTACGACACGTAAAATTTTGGGTTCCGCATTTAGTATTTTGGTTGGTTCTTTGCGACCCTAATCCGACGCACATGGACGAAATCCCTCGGAGACGCTGAACAACGGGATTGAAAGTTCTATTCTATGGTCTGGTAAATTCCGACCGGGGAAAGCTTCACCGTAGAGACGTCGAGCTTCAAGACTATTTCCAAAGGCTCTGCCGTTCATTAAGACCACGTCGGTCATTTCGCCATTTGTATAACCTTGCATTTTTTATTAAAACTTCTTTGAAAACACTTGATGAAAAACGTCAAAAAAATTTGAACCAACGCAAATAAATCAACTAGCAAAGCAAAATTCAGCTAGAAGAAACGTTGTTTTCAAAAGGTAAAAAGAGTAAGATAACGTTAATGGTTTCTGTTGAAATTTTAATCATTTCTTCCCTGACTGTCCCCATATCGGATCCGATAATATGAACAAAATGGCTCAACTCCTTCTAGGTGTTCGGTTTTTATGGAAATGGAAATCAGTATACATATACATATAGGTATAGGTAGTTTATGAACAGGTTTTCTTTCTAACGTCTATATTTTCTCTAAAAATCTTCATACTAACACATTTTTGTCAGATTTTCGTTCTAGAGTTTTTTTTTTCCAGAAACATGCATCTGCCCAAAGACTTAGGTGGAGTAAATAAGCTGTAAAATAAGTACGGACTGAATATTCAACGATGGACTGGATACCTTACATAACTTTTTTGTTGGTCGTGTGTTATTTTTGATAATAAACTTTAAATTTTAAATAAACTATAGACAGTAACGATGGTTCAGTAATTTTCACCTTCTTTTTGCCTGACGAGTGGAATGACGAAGCCCCGAGCTTCCATTAAATTTCCTCAAGGTCTAAGTTTATCTCTCATACGATTTCACATGAAAAGTGCTAAGAGTATTTGCTTTTGTTTACATTTATTTAAAATAATCTGAGTCTAAACGCAGAGTCGAATTTTCTGAGTAAAATCAAAAGTAGGTGAATTGAGTGTTGCCTATTTCGAATTTAGGGAGCTTGAGCTTGAGCGGCGTAAATGTGCGCAGTTTAGATATTTACGAGAAAGGTCAAAGGTTTCCGCGATTTGCCCGCGCAAAGCGAGGTGGTGTACATAACCACAAATAACAAGACTATTAACCTGTAGATCTGTAGATTTGCAGAGTGTACAGCGTGCACTATACAGTTTAATATTGAATAGTGTTTTTGTCTCACACTTTTTTCAGAAAAATGCCACGGAAAAAGACCACTGCCAAAAGGAATGCATCATCAAGTCAAAGTGACGACATTCCTGAACCAGAGTCAACAAACGCTGCATCTACTATTTATGAGTTTAACGTCAAAACAATTAAAGGTGAAGACGTCTCATTAGAAAAATATAAAGGACATGTATGCATAATAGTAAACGTTGCGTCTAAATGTGGGCATACAAAATCCAACTATGAACAGTTCGTTGAATTACATGACAAGTATGCGGACGAAAAAGGATTAAAAATTTTGGCATTTCCTTGTAATCAATTTGGTGGACAAGAGCCTGGTGATTCAGAAAAAATCTGCCAATTTGCTGAAACAAGAAATGTGAAATTTGATATGTTTGAAAAAATCAAAGTTAATGGTAAAGATGCGCATCCTTTGTGGAAGTTTTTAAAAGAAAAAGTACCTGGACCAAAAGGAAAGGACATCAAGTGGAACTTTACTAAATTTATTATTGATGATGAAGGTGTTCCAGTCGAAAGACACTTATCCAGTGTTAAACCCCTGACTCTCGTTGATTCTCTGGAAAAATTGTGGTAGTTATATAATACACATCTTATCAACATTTGTATGAATCAAATAAAAGCTTCCAGTGTATCACTTTTTTTTTTATCATATTGCCTCAAAAGTTGCAATCTTGCATGCATGTTTATGTGGCAATGAAAAGTGCACATACAAGTTTTTACCTGACTTTTCTTTTGCGTTTCTAAAAGCAGTTCTAATAACGTTTTAATTATGTTGTGGAACAACTATGTCTTGATTGGTGTAGGTATCTAAAATTAAACATAACTAGGCGAGACGTGGTTTACCTTCAAAGATAATAAATTATTACATAGTGTTTAAGTACATTATGCAAGGTGATTCGCGAGACATAATAAACCTAACCAAGGCGACGATGCAATTCCAGACACTGTCGGAAATCTGGTAAATTTATTTTTAAGTTTTATATAAATATTCAGTAAAGTTCTGAATGTTTAATTAATTACTTAGTTTAATATGTAATATATTTCTTGATCGTATATTTAAGCTGGGAATAATGTTTAGGTTTCTGACACAACTTGAAATAGGTGACATGCTGACCATCCATATATATTAATTACCTACCAAGTTATTAAACATAACTTGCTGCGGTTTAAAAAGGTGAATGCATTGAGATGTATTCTGGGTTGCGTTTCCAATCCTGTTGGGCTCATTATTACACCACAGATTATACGTGAATCACACTATATACAACGTAAAAATATTGTGGTTTAAATTATTTAGTGTAAATAAATAGCGTTTTAGATACTTTCACATTTTTTCACTTTATTGAGTGTATTTACTATCTCTGTTACTAAAATTAAATTTACGACTAGAGATTTTTTATGATAACATATTGTGTAACTCAATGATTCCACAAAAATCAAGTAATTGCTTACATGTATTCAGTACATCGAAATGAATAACAATCAACTTTCTATTGTAAACGATTTATTAATATTGCTGCCATACATAAATAATAAAACATAGCATTTTTAACAATTATCTGAATATTTTATGAGTACATCCCAAAGTATAAAAATCACCAGTACTTTTCTAGGGACTTGACCAAATCTTTGGGATTAGTGCTTGGTCCATGTCTCTCCACTGGTTGCCCATTCTTGTCAATGATAAACTTGGTGAAATTCCATTTAATAAAATCTCCCAAAGTTCCCCCTTGTTTATGTTTCAAGTACTTCCAAAGAGGATGTGCATCATTCCCATTGACATTTACTTTTTCAAAAACGTCAAAAGTAACATTTTTACTTGAAACGAATTGACAAATTTCTTCATTACTTCCAGGCTCTTGACCGGCAAACTGGTTGCACGGAAATGCCAAAATCCTTAACCCTTTGGTCTCTCCATACTCGTTGTAAAGATCCACAAGTTCTGCATAATTATTTTTCGTGTAACCACACTGCGATGCAACGTTTACGATGATGCACACATGATCTTTGTATTTTTCCAGCGAAATCACTTCCCCTTTAATATCCTTCGCACTAAAATCGTAGATTGATTTGGCCTCTTTAAAATTTTCGGGGTTAGACATTTTTCGGGAAGCAATCGGTGTAATTGGTGTAATCGGTGCAACTGTTGTAAACACTCTCAAAATGGTTGTTGCGACACTAAACAAATGAAAGCCGGGTATCAACATGACAAGCACATTACTTTATGGTTAGTTTACACACCAACGCTGCTATGCGCACACTCACTCAAATTATTCCAGTAACTTAATTTAATTGCACGAGCAAAGTACGCAGGAGCAATATCAAGAGTTTGAAGTACAAAAATAAAAGTCAGCAAATAGTAGGGTTGCGTTGGTGTACAATGATATGACATAAAAATTGATACAGACGATAACAACGTATTGGTAAAATGGGTTGCCTAACTAGTGCCAGTATAAGGCACGTTCAGGATTCGTAATAGTTTCGTTACTTTTGGTCACTTTCACTGTTTCACACTGTATAAATTTAGGTATTTAGTTAATTATGAACAATTTTTTTCATCCAAAGAAACCCCTTGATTGTGCATTAAAAAAAAGTCAAACATCAATATGCAATAACTGAGTGTACAGTGAAAAGAAGAATAAAGTAATTTATAAAAATATAGATACACGTAAAAAAAATATCGTAAGAATTTAGTCTTAGGTTCAACGAAATGTGAATAGTCTTCAATATTTTAAAAGTATTGTTAGTTATTTATTTTTATTCAGATCTACACACAAATAACATAAGTGGAGGATACAAATAATGAAATTGTCTATTCTAAAATCTTACAACACCTTCTAAAAACCTTCAAAGGTTGAAAATAGTTTAGCTAATTGTTTATATGATGAGATGAGTGTGAAGAGCAACGTCCACGTCCGCAGTGTATGGACGTTGCTCTGCATAAACAATATTGTGAAATTTTTTTTACGAATTTTGATATTACACTCATAAATTTTGGTAGAATTTTTAAATTTTTGAAGTACATATAAAGTCTATTTGAAATACCCATTCATGTGCATATGTAGCGTGACACAAACGTGGAAATTGCAACGTAGGTAGGTAATGCTTTTAACATAAATATGACCCAAAAAACGATTTTTATTTATCAAACCGTAATTGTGGAAAATGATAAATTTCGCGTTTTCCTCAGATTTTCACATCTGAATTAAGTGCTGCAATTATATTTTTAAATATGTAAATATGTACCCTTACATTATAGGAATTTTCCCTGGGCATATAACCACAGATAATCGTAGCCACGGTAAACATTTCGTTTTTGGGTGGGGAATTAATAAATGACATCATGGGTTTGGTGCGGTATGTTTTTTCAACATACCGCACTTTACCCAAGTCAGGCGATAAGTAAACAATTCGTTTATTGTATTGGTCTCTCTTTCTATTTGTCAACATTGTAAACATTTAGATTAAAATTTTTCCAGCTATTAAAAACAGTCGGAGTGTGGGAGTGTTAACATTATTAACATTATTAAAAAAGAATAGATGTGCATACTAATTAATAATAACAGTAGGACTGCATTTCCAATTTTTTGAAATGAGGTGAAATGAACGTTAGATACCACATTTCAATAAATAAAATTATATCAATCAAAGTGCTAATTAATTTCAATATTTTGCGATGTCCAGTGTATTTGTAGACGTTGTAATTGGGGGGGGGGGGGGGGGGTGCCTTCACCAGCCGCCCCTGAGAATTTTACCAAAATATGATTTCTAGTAATTAGTCTTGTAAAGAAATAAATTGTTGAGTTTCATCCACGCCGAACGCAAAACGTAACAATACGGAATAAACGATTTTTGTCCTCCATATTTTGTTTTAAGGGTGTTTTTCCAAATTTGAGGTCCACCACTATGCATTCTGCTATAAAAATTCTTGCTCTGCAGTTATTATATACTCCTATATATTTTTCTTTTTTTTTTAACAAAATAAAAACCAAATAAATTAAAACAATTTAACAATTTATTTTATTATATACAAAATAACTGCATTATTTACATATTTACAATGTACGAGTACACATTTGATTACTCTTGGAAAACATAGGGTTATTATAATCAGTTGTTTGGGGTAAGGTTGGCGTCAGTATTCGATATTTTTGCTCAACTTAAGACGTAACTTGTAGTACTTGTATGTACCTTATATCAACAATCATTTTCCCAAAATGAATTTATTTCATTTATGTGCATTAGTTTTGTTAAATATTTTGTCACCTGTGTGCCAATTTTCATTAAGACAACTAACATCCGTAGATGCGATGCTTGTAGCATCTTTAGCATTTGCTCACAATTAATTTCCCAGTTTTCCTTTGAACCAAACTTTGCCAGTTTGTCAAAAGAGTGCATTTTGGGGAAGTCATTACGAAATGCTCAAAACACTGAACAAATATAAACGAACGGTCACTTTGACTCTCGTAGAGAAATACAGCTTAGTACAAAACTTACGTAAACGAAGAGAGAAAAACATTCGACGATGGACAAGATCCTTGCGTCGTTTCTTGCTAATTTTGATATATAATTAAATTACAAAGTATCATGGCACTTCACATTTCAAAATTTTTAAGTACGACACTAAAATTAACTGTGCAATGGAAAACTATCTTAATTAAAGTGTCCTTTGACTGAAATGTGTTAATGTATTAACAGACGTTACCTGTAGATGGTTTGGCCATCCAAAGATCACTTTGATCAAGATAATTTTCAATGACATCATACTGTTTTCTATAGTTATTTCAGATTCTAGGGACCGTTTGTAGCTACTGATACGATGAAGTTCCTATTGATTGCCTAGATATTCTTTGGAATTCGTTTAGCGTAGGTGTGTTTTCCTGCAATTTCAAATATTTTACGATATTGTGAAATATTAAAGTTTAAAAGTACCTTAAAATACTCCTATGTTGATGTTGTCCAGGTGAGCTGGCGGTATTCATCCATGTCTTAAAATTTGTGGTTAAAAACATGATTCCCCTCAGATATACTTTGTGGAGGTTGGAAATTACAACGCCAGGTTGCTGTTTAAATTCGTTGTTCTGATGTGCAGGAAAGAGTCTATAATCCAATATGTTACAAATAAAAATAAGTACTTTGGTCCAGAAATTTACCTAAATCTTTTTTTAGAACATCTCCACCTTTTCAAGAAATGCAGATACAAATTTATTATAAAAAAATGACTAATCGAGTTTGCATTTATCTGACCATCAACTAATTAAAATTTGGGACAATGTTAAAATAATTTTTCGAAAATTTAAATTTTGTGTCATTAGATGAAATTTTGTGTCATAGAAGAAAGTAAATTTCGTAAAAGTTATGAATCCGAAAATGTTACTTCAGAAGAAACTAGGAAGAAAATATCTATATTTCTCCATTTCATCAAAATTTCTGTATAAAATCGCGATATGAACCGGTGAATTTTTGGCAGTTAACATGTCAAAGAAGAGACGTACATTATTACGGACGGCAAAGGATGTATGTGCAAATTGCGGAATGCCGTTTTGCACTCCAGTCACGATACCAACAGTTGCGAAATCTTCATAAACAGAATCTATTTCTTGCGAACAATCTATCTTTAATTTTTCAAAACATCTTCAGGAAATATTACTTTGAGCGCCAACTTTTCATACTGTTTCAATTTTTCTTCCTTTTTCGTCTTTACTTCTTCTTCCCAATAATCACTGTTTACGGGCACTTTGCCTCCGTAGAAAAACTTAAATTTTCCTTCAATAAAGTAACTATACATGTCAGTCAGGAGAAATTTATTATTTAATAATAAAAGCATAAATATTTGAAGAGGGATTCCCAATATATCTGAATTTAGCCCCATGTTGAGGGAATTTCTGGAAATATTTTTAGATTTGCAAAATTCCGTCTTTGTTAGTTTTTTATTTACAGTCGAATTGAGATATTCAATAGCAAAATTACGATTTCTCATTTGAGTTACTTCATTGATATTTTTTGGTATATTTAGTTTTTTATCAAGACTAAAAGACTTGTAACTATTTTTAAATTGTTGGGTTTCATATGGTTGTCTTGTCTTTAATGATGTATAATACTCTGCTACAATTTTACTTTTTTTAGTATTTGTCATTTTTTTATTTATTAAAAAAAATTTATTTAATCCATATCTAATACATATATAAAAATAAGTCGGGTTTTCCTTCCTGACGCTATAACTCCAGAACGCACGAACCGATTTCCACGGTTTTGCATTCGTTGGAAAGGTCTCGGGCTCCGCTAGGTTTATAGCAAAGAAAATTCTGGAAAAATTTCAAGAGAAAAGCAGGAAAACAGGGAAAATAATTTCTTTTGCACGGGAATCGCCACTTCGAAAAAATTTGAATAGTTGGCCATGCCTGACGGACCTGTCGCCTGACTGACGTGTCACACAAAACTATTTCTTCCGTGCGATTGTGAAAAGTATTATTGCATTTCAAGTCGTTGTTTGTTTTTTCGTAACAAAAAACGTCGTTTATTTCAAGAAAAGTGTTCGTTAAAGTGAATTCAGTTACGCATTGCGAAAGTTTCTTATTAATTTTGATCTGCCATTCTATTTACCTATGTTCACTTTGTTGGTTTCGACAAAACCTCAAACTTTACCGTTATTCGAGGATTTGATTTGAAGTTTTCAGTATTTTAAAATTCTCAAGACAAAATTTACAGATTTGATTGACTGCGAAAATAATTCTGTGTCGTTTTATGAAGTTCATTACAACGCCGAGAAGACGACAAGCTGACATAGGTCCACGAAGTCAATGAAATGTGCGACGAACTACCTCAGGTACAAATCGCAATGATTTATTTCATGGGTAATTCGGATACGGAAATTGATCAGCGTCGTGCTCATAATCAACATAATAGTCAAACATTGAAGCGAGACATTGGGTGGTATGAATACAACTGAGTAGATTCGATAGTATTCGAAGTACGAAGTACCTACTTTATTATTACTCTATGTACTGAGTACCTACTTGGAAACATTGTATCTCCCCGGACACATATTGAACATCTACGCGTTTTGTGAGCATTTAATCTAAAAATGAGCATCGGCGTGGCAAATAACTGAGCTGTCTGTAAAGCAGCTTAGAAAACGAGCAGGATCGTTGTAAGAGTGAGTTTTGACTAAATACGGGGACTTTCATGAACGTGGAACGTCATCAAAAGGTGCATTCAGTTTGAAAAACACATTAGCAGCGGGAATATCGAAAACTTTTCAGGTAATTAACTTTTATTTATGCATAAATTGTGCAGTACGTTTTTTCTAACACTGGCCATAGAGATTCCCATCTCAAGGTGTCTACCCCATACTGACTTATATTTTGGGGACCCGATTTTTGCCTTGATGGTTAACCACTGTCACTGTTTTCCTTTTTTGTTGTATCGAGATGCTACTTGAGCATCAAGTTTTACTTACTGAAGTATTAGCATCATCTAGAAAAACTAGAAATATTTTGATTTGATATTTGAGCATCTACTGAGTTTTATTTATATCAACCATTGTCAAACAACTGATCGAACGTTTTTTCGATAGAACTTCCTTCGCACCAAAAGTATAATGAAACATATTCAGCATTTTCGAGTTGCGTCTTTTCTTCACACAATTTTGTGATGACCAAATCAACATTTACAATCAACACGTATATCACCTTGGATTGGTGCAGTGTAACTAATACTAAAAATAACTGTATTGTATCTCCAAAATTATCTGCGTAAATCAAGTGAGCCGTCCCACCAATTTTTAATGATTAACAATTTACCATGCTTACAATAACTTTAAAACGTCTGCAAGATCTCAAAGTATTCATTTCTGCAACTCTTGAGTTATTCAATAAAATAAATTGACTGATCCATATATTTTTTTAAGTCACTGTAAAAGCAAATCTAAAAAATTGGTCTAAAGAGTTTAGACAGTACTTTCCTCGCTGTCGGAAACGTGACGACTATTATGTTTTTTTTTTCGCAGTGGATTTCAAAGCATTCGGTTTTGTAGTTCATGAGTAAACCAATAAAATAAATTTACGCATTCATTATTTTTTTGAGTCACTCGGTATATGCAAATTCAAAAAATGTGAATGGAATGATAAACTACAAGTACAGACTCATAATATTTTGTATATTCTAGACAGGATTTATTCGGCAAACTTTTGAGCTGACGTCATCAGTTTTTTGGAGAAGATAACCACATATATTTTGACTAAAAATTTATTATGCTCTTTATAACCTTAAAACATTTGCAAGATTTCAAAACATTCGGTTCTGTAGTTCCTGATTAAATCAATAAAATATATTTACGCATTCATTAATTTTTTTGGGTTACCCTGTATATGCAAATCCAAAAAATATGAATGGAGTGATAAATCACAAGGAGAGACTCATCATATTTTGTACATTTTAGATAGGATTTATTCAGCGAAATTTTGTGGTGATGTTATAAATTTTTTAGGGGAGATGAGCAAATACATTTTGATCAAAAACTTACCAGGCTTATGACAACTTTAAAGAATCATCAAGATTTCAAAGCATTCGGTTTTGTGGTTCCTGAGTAAATCAATAAAATAAATTTACGCATTCATTAATTTTTTTGAGTTACCCTGTATATACAAATCACAAAAATATAAATGGAGTGATAAATAACAAGTACAGACTCATCATATTTTGTACAGTTTAGATAGGATTTATTCGGCAAACTTTCGATCTGACGTCAACAATTTTTTTGAGGGGATAAGCAAATATATTTTGACTAAACATTTATTATGCTCTTTACAACCTTAAAACATCTGCAAGATTTCAAAGCATTCGGTTTTGTTGTTCCTGATTAACTCAATAAAATAAATTTACGCATTCATTAATTTTTTTGAGTCACCCTGTATATGGAAAACGAAAAAATTTGAATGGAATAATAAATCACAAGAAGAAACTCACCATATTTTGTACATTTTAGGTAGAATTTATTCAACACAATTTTGTGGTGACGTCATAAATTATTTTAGGGGGGACGACCAAATACATTTTGATAAAACATTTACCATGCTTATGATAATTTTAAAACATCTTTAAGATTTCAAAGCATTCGGTTTTGTAATTCCTGAGTAAATCAGTAAAATACATTTACTCATTAATTATTTTTTTTAATTACCCTGTATATGCAAATCCAAAAAATATTAATGGAGTGATATATCACAAGTACATACTCATCATATTTTGCACATTCTAGATAGGATTTATTCGGCAAACTTTTGAACTGACGTCATCAAGTTTTTGGAGGGGATAACCAAATATATTTTAACTAAAGATTTATGATGCTCTTTATAGCCTTAAAATATCTGCAACATTTCAAAACATTCCGGTTAGCCGATTCAAAATTAAATTTCAAAATGTTGTTTTATAATTTTGATTTTTTTCCAATAATCTGGGCGTTTCGGGTAGAAACTCAATTCGGAGTCGTAAAACACTATGTTATTTTATACAATTTAAAACCGATTTACTATGTATAATTTTGAAGTGACGTCATCTCATTAGTGGTCGGTATGATTAGACAAATTTTGGTTAGCGTTTTACCATCTACATGTTATTCCTAATATAAGTACAAAATTTCACAACAATCGGTCGAGTACTTTCGGAGATTATCTGTCTAATAAAAATCCGGGATGGCAGACAGACGGACAGACGGACAGACAGATGGAAATAGGAGACCTATTTCTTCGTCTTCTAGGGATCATGAAAGATCAAGAAAAGGTAAAAGTAGAGAGTCGGCCGACGGACTCGATTACAATACTTCCTTTGCTTACGCTCGGGAAATAAAAATATGAATGCAATGATAAATTACGAATATATACTGAAGATTTTTTGCACATTTGAGATAGGATTTATTCGGCAAAATTTTGAGATGATGTCATCAAGTTTTTGGGTTTGATAAACAGATATATTTTGTTTAAAAAGCTACCATGCTTACAGTAACTTCAAAACGTCTGCAATATTTCAAAATTTTCAGTTTTGCAATTCTTGATTCAGTCAATAAAATAAATTGACCCAGTGATTAATTGTTTTGGGACACCCCGTTTAAGCAAAACTAAAAAAATATAAATGCAGTGATAAATCACAAGTAAAAACTCATCATATTTTGCACATTTCAGATAGGATTTATTCAGCAAAATTTTCAAGTGACGTCACCAATTTTTTAGGGGGAATGAACAAATACATTTTAGTCAAAAAATTACCATGCTTATGATAACATTAAAGCATCTCCAAGATTTCAGAACATTCGGTTTTGCAGTTCCTGATTAAATCAATAAAATTAATTCACCCATTCATTAATTTTTTTGAGTCACCCTATATAAGCAAATCTAAAAAATATGAATGGAATAATAAATCACAAGTACAGACTCATCCTATTTTGGATATTTTAGATAGGATTCATTTGACAAATTTTGGGCTGACGTCATCAATTTTTTGGAGAGCATAAGTAAATATATTTTGAATAAAAATTTATTATGCTTATCATATGTTTAAAACATCTGCAAGTTTTCAAAGCATTCGGTTTTGCAGATTCAAAATTAAATTGTAGGTGAAACGAAGTTCACCGGGTTAGCTAGTTAGTTAATATAAAGTTTGCAGAAATCGCTAATACATATCATACGATTCCCGAAATACTTGGAAATATTTCGACCTTTCGTTTGTTTCTACGTAAATAGCAGCTTAATTAAGCTCAGTATAATTAATAAGAACTGCACTGTACTATTTTAGGCGATACTGTTCTAACTGGAAGAACTGTGTGATTGGATACTCATTTCTTATTGGTCGTTTTAAAACATTTCTACCGACATATGCCAATGGTGTAATGGACTCACAATTGGAAAATAGGCATAATGTTTTGTAGTGTCATCTATCAATGTGATCAAAATAGCAAATTCAATGATTGCAATAAATTTGTTCAATTTGGATTGCATCTCGGAAAAACTTGTATGTTATAAGTACATAGGTATATCATCATCAACATGACATGCTATTTCGTGTTTTTAATTTTTTGCACTCGGATTTTTTTTATCACATTCCCGAACTCACCAGGATGTGGGAATTTGACTTTCCAGCACTCGTGCTTTTCCCCGACGTGTTTTAGGGAACCAATTTTGACGAATTAGGTCATCCCAAAAGGGTCATAGGGTATATTATGTTTTCAAAACTTCTATAAGGCGGCTCTTTTATAATTAACCCAGATTTGACCATTATCCTTTTTAATGAACACTTATTTGTATGTAATCTTACAACAGAATCGTTTTTATCGAGCCAATTTTGACGATTGAGGTGTCAGTCGATTTGTTTTCATTGGAAGAGTATCATATGTATTATACGTTTGTAAGAATGTAAAAAAACAACTATGTCATGGTCAATAACAGGAAGTAATAAAAATAGATACATAGTTGCATTTGTTTTATTTAACATAAATTTTATAATTAGATATACCAATGTAAAACTTACGAGTATGATATATTGTCCATTTAAGTTTAAGTATTATCATCACTACAGTAATTTATATATGCACTCTAATTATAATTATATAGGAGAAAAATGGCGGACAGTAACATCAGGCTCTTGGAGATTGAAAACGAATTTCTAAGAGAAATAATTAGCAAACACCAGCTACAATTTGATTTAATGACCAGAAGAGAAGATAAAGTGAAAAACACAATTGACGCCTTGCAGCAACAGAGAAACCAATGCACAGAAGATTATAAATGTTTATCTGCGACGACAAAAGACAAAATACATCAACTTGAGGACAAAATAAAAAAATATAAAGCGCAAATTCAAGACTACGATAATAAATTCGAAGAGAATCGATTACAACATACCGTTGTGCAAAAAGAGCTCATAAATACACAAGCAAAGCTAATTAATATACACGAAATGCTAGATAATAAACACGAAGAGATGCATAGTATACATAGACAGCTAATATTTCAACACGAAGAACTCGCTAAATGTAATGCAGCACTTTTTGAAAAATCTGTCGAAGTCTGTGATCTTCGAAATAAGTTGGTAAGTATTGTAATGTTTTTCTTTTAATGCATTTTTTTTATTTAATTTCACCTTTTAGGACAAAAATGAAGAAAAATATAAGAACCTCCTCTTGCTTAACCAAATGGCACTAGTACGAGTGGATTAACAAAATTTGAAGAAACGAAAATTCCTGAGTTTCACCCATCAAAAAGAGGTGAACTATATTCCGATTTTTTAAAATCCATAAAGAACATAGATCTTCCACCTAACACCGCACCGTGTGTTAAGAATTTATTCCTCAAACTGAATACAAGCGTACAGAAGTGTCATTCCATTGAAGACAGTGTCGGGGAAGGTGAAAATGCGTTCAGTAACAATGAACTAAAATTATTAGCAGCGGTTTGGGAACTATCGCCCCTGAATAAGGGAAAATTGGTAGTGAAAAGGAAAATTGGTGGTAAAAAGGTAATTTAGAGACTTTTTTTGATTGACAATTGACAAAGAAAGATATATGTTTTGCAAACTTTTTTAAATTTATGTTGTACTGTATATGTCACATTTGTATGTATATTTGGATATAATAAAGTCAACATTTCAATAGTCGATATATTTTAATTATTGATTTTCGAGTTTTCAAATCAATAGATTTTAAATTCATCATTTTCAAATTTGCATTCAGATTTTATTTGTCATATTCTAATTGGTATATGTTATGAATTTAAATGAATGAACAAGCAATAATATGAGTTATTGCTCTACCTAACCAAGAGTTAGGAGTAAATTTAAATCCTCTCTGAAAGACGAACAGATAAGCAGAACAGGAATGGGGTACTTGCAGATTTTTTAAATTTTCTTCACCAATGAAAACGAATGAAAATAAGAAGACTTTCTATGACAGAAAAAAATGTTTTAGTAAATAATTATTAAAATTGTATAATAAATAAATAAATAACGTACTTATAAAGTGATTGAAATAAAGACATTAAATATAATATATTTCTTCTAATTCTGTAGATGATTTGATTAATGAAAACTGTAGATGCTGTAAGAATAGATCGGATTGTAGTCGGAACGAAAACGGGGAATATTTTTCACTTTTTTTATTAACTCTGTAAATATGTATTGGGATGTTGAAAACTGAGGGGTTTGAATAGGTTTTTAAAGTGTTTAATTGTCCTGGTCGAAACTAGAATATTATGAAAAAACAGATAAAGCTATCAGAATCCATGTAGACGAAGAAGACAAAGTATGGAAAAATAAACAATATTCATTAATGAATCTGGATTAAGGTATATTCTTTTATGGGGTAAATTTGGGGAAACCAGAATATGTTACAGATGTTAAGAGATTTTACCAAATCTTATTAGATGATAAACTTGGTAATATAGTCAGAGATGTATAGTTTAAATTTTTTTGTTTAACAATATTTTTTATTCTAATTTGAAACCTATTCAGACAAGAATTTTGGTAATTTTTTATTTTATTTTACCAGTTATTTATCCTGACCCATTAATGAAAAGCCATTTTGGTGTACCTATATAATATTTTAAAGTGCTCCTTATCCAGAAATAAAAATCCATTTGGAGGGTTTGAAAGCCTGATAAATTTAAATAAGATTTTTGTCTTTTCCATTTTTGAGGGAACGTGAAAGTTTTAAGAATTAGATTGAATAGAGTGGTTAACGGTTCCACAAATACACTTGCGCAATCACGTATAATAAAAGCTGGCATTCGATCGGGTCCATTAGTCATTTTTGGTTTAAGTTTTTTTATGGCATTATACACACATTCCTGGCTGACACATTTTAATATTTAACACATTTTTAATCAAACTTGAACAGCCAAGGTGACTAGAAGAGTTATGTTTTATAAATGATTGAGCAAAGTGCTCTGCGAAGCTATCAACAATATCGCCCGGATCGGATATATTTCTGTCATTATGAGTCATATTAGATGGAATACAGTTAGAATTTCTTTTTGCATTTATAAATTACCAGAAATTTTTAAGATCCGATTTTACATAATTATTCATTTGCTGTAAATAAATATTGTATGCTTCCCGTATTTTGGATTTCAACTGAGCTCTGATGGTTTTAAATATTAAATAATCATTTTGTGATTTAGATTTGTTGTATTTTTTTCCAGGCCTTGTTTTTATATTTCAAATCCTTAATGACATCACTGTTGAACCAAATGGGGTAATTACCAGTAGGATTTTTTTTCTTTGGTACGTGTTTCTGAAAAATTTGATCCATAATAAGGTAGAGATAGGAAAGTGCATCATCAACGTTGGAGTAGCCATTAAGAAAAGACCAATTTACTGATAGTAGTGCTTCATAAAGCGAAATAAAGTTGCATCTTTTGAAGTTATAATCTGAATGAAATGAGGTGCGAAATTTCTTAATGCGAGCTTTTGACAAAAACAAATCAATTTCTAAAGCAGGGTGTTGTTCATCTTCTCTTCTGAATGGATCATCTGATTTTGAGACAGTACATTGAATTTCGTTGTTAATTAAAACTAGATCTAAGAGTCTATTATTGCCGTTTAATACATTATTGTATTGATTTAAGTCAAAGAAGGATATAAAACTGTTGATGCATCTATACGAACTAGAAGATGACCTTATATTTAACGTTGATAAGACAAAATCAGCACAGTTAGTCACCAACAATAAATAACAGATCCATATAGATAAGACATAGACATTAAAAGATCGAAAAAAATTATGTAATCATTGCTATCACATGCTATCATATAATTGCGATCTTTCCGAAAAACGTTATACCTTGTTAGATCAAATAATTCTTCATCATTTAATCAAGTTCGAAGAGAGCAATTAAATTAATATGAGATTCAGATATAGAAGATAAATAAAAGTTACGTGTTTTTGTACATAGGCCTCTAACATTTTGATAATAACATAATAAGGACGATGAATCACACAAAACAGTAGATGAACATTCACTCATTCGTTCGTGAGAGGTAGAATTTATCACAATGTACTCACTTTAGAAAATCAGTTGTACATTCCTTTAAAAGATGATTACCAGAACATTTGGGACATGTGGGATTTGTCTGACTACACTGATGCGAAGTATGGTTAAACCTGAACATTTAAAACACCGACGGATATCAACAGCGTCCCACACTGCAATAATCATAACCAATTAATACTTTACCAGCTTCAATAAGTTTGTGCTACGTTAATTTATCAACTTCTATTATAACTTGCTTTAGTTTATTATGATTACGCAGAGGCTTATACTGTTTCAACAGTATATATATATATAGAGTTACCACCAAACAAATTTTTATTACCACATACAAGGTAATCTACGATTGATCCCTCTGAAATATCATTATCAATACCAGAAACTCTTACTCTAGGGTTAGGAGTTGGTAATGTTTTTACACTGTAATCCACTAGGTTTTCAGAAATTAAATTTTTTATTTTTTCAGTTTCATCATTTGTGTTACAACTTATAATGAGACTTCCATTTCTACTTGTCCTCACCGCAGCTATATCAAGTTTAGATTTCACCGGATCAACTTTATTTATTAAATCTTTTTTGTGATGGACACTGATTGTTTGTCGTTTTTTGGTTGAAGAATAGAAGAAGATTTTTTACTAACAGCATTAGAGTAAGAAGGTTTACTAGTTGGTTATTTAACACTTACAGTATTTGATGCTTCTTTGTCAATTAACTTGTGAATAAATTCATTATGAGGTTGAAGTGATTCACCCTGCTTAGCTATAGCAGATACACATTTATCCACAGATTTTTAGTCAACAGATATTTACTTATCCCTTCCAAAAAATTGATGACGTCACCTCAAAAGTTTGCCGAATAATCCTATCTAAAATGTACAAAATTTGATGAGTCTCTTCTTGTAATTTATCATTACATTCATATTTTTTGGATATGCATATACAGGGTAATCCAAAAAAAATAATGTATGCGTGAATTTATTTTATTGATTTAATCAAGAACTATAAAACCGAATTGTTTGAAATCTAATGCGAAAAAAACCATAATAGGCATGCAGTCGTCACGTTTCCGACAGCGAGGGAAGTACTGTCTAAACTCTTTAGACCAATTTTTTAAGACTACAACTAACTTGCTTTTTATTAGAGTGAGGTAAGTTATCGAACTTAAGACACTTAAAAAATTTGTTTTGACAGTATGATTTGTGTTATACAGTGCGGTATAGAAGCGTGAAAAAAAGTGTCATAGCGGTTCATTTTTTCACGCATTTGAGTGAAAAAAAGTGTCGTAGCGTGTCATTTTTTAACGGAATAAAACAAGCCTGCCGTTGCTATGATAATTCATAAACACAAAAAATTGTCGAGACAGCAAATACGGCTACATTTAATATCTATGTTCCAAAATAAAAAGTTTTTGAAGTTGGTGGGTGTTGAGTTTTGTTACGAACGCGAAAAAAATTTTGTATGCGACTCGTGAGTAAAGTGGCTTTTTTTTACTCGGCGGATTTATGCACTCGCCTTCGGCTCGTGCAACAAATTTTCCTTCTCGTAAAAAAAAGATACACTTTACTCAGTAGTTGCATAAATAACTATTTATGTAAAAAGTAAATTAAAATAAAACATTTTAATACCATTATTAACAGTTAAATTATTAATTACCGAACGACTTTACTTATATAATATCACTGGTAGAAAAAAATTAAATAACGGCAAAATACAAATTATTAGTTAAGAATTTATACAGAATCCGATACCGAGAGAAATGAGTGTCTTTCAATGGGTTGGATCCATAAATTATTCTTACTATAGGGGTGGTAAGCTGGACGTTTTTATGACATGCGATTAGAAGTGAGTCGGTGTTGACAGCAAGGGCAAATTGTCCGGTCTCAAGGACGAACTCTGGAAGGAATGCTCTTAAGTACATCTAATTTTGATGTACCTTCATACACAAGACAAGAATCACAGATAAAACGAAAATTTTTATTCTTACCCAAAATTTTTAGTTGAGTATCTTCAACTTTCAGACATTTGTTATGACCTTTATTGCAACAGGTAAAGCATTGTTGGCACTTATCAAAATTTTTTATATTAACATCACAAGGTTTACAGACCGGCATTCTAGCTCACAAAAACTTATCTAAAGATAACCGCTTAGGTACACCTGTACCGAACGTAGAGAAAGTACAAGAATCGCAATTGAAGTTAGTAAACGAAAACCAAAGTGGTGTAATCACACCATTCTTCATTTAAAGATACTTCGTTATACCAGCGATTAACAATAAATGTAATATAGATACAATTTTGCAGATGTAAAATGTAGAGCAATTCACGACACAGCTACACACTTCGACCACCACGAACAAACTCCAAAATGTGAAAAATCGTCTTCTGAAACTGTCTTTTGGATCGCTTTCAGGTAAAACTCTTCTCCGTTGACTTTAAATTTTGTTTCCTTTGAAGTTGTAAAAGTGTTTGTGGTGAATAAAATAAATTTTTGCACTTCGCCCTGCATCTCTTCAGCAGATTTGAAATATTTTGTTATACTGAAGTTTCCCGTTTTACTTGCCAACTGCTTTATACTTAATAGTCTTTTTTCATTACTGTGTTTTAACTGCAGTGCTTTTGTTTTTGTTCCACTATCTGTCTCAATTTCTATAACGACGTCATTAAAAGCACCAAAATTTTTGTCGTTCGAAGAAATGTGGAAATCTTTTATATTACTGTCGCTTAGCATTTGTTTTGTGACGTTAGCGGTAACCAAGTCTTCGTATTTTTTACCCTTGTCGGTGGTTCCTTCTCGTTTTTCAAAAGACTGTAAAAGAAATCAACAATGTGAATATATCGAGAACAGTTGTAAATCATACAAAAATTAGACTTTGAAATAGTTCTCCGTTTTTTTTTTTTGTTTTTTTTTAAGAAACAACAAGGCAAGTCTTGTTTGAATTGTTTTTCTGGTTCAAAATAACAACCAAAAAGTATATTTCTTCATAAATAAATTTACCTTTTCCGACAAAGTTTTTTTTCCAGTCCGGTTCTTTCGAAGTGTATTTTTTTCAGTAGGATTTCCCTCAATTTGATGACTGTCTTCAAATAGAGCAACTTGCTTGTTTCTCGCAATAAAATTGTTGAAATTATTTTCGATTACTGTAACAATTACCTAACTAAAGTTTCAAAACTTTCATGATTTTTGTTAGAGCTGAAATAATGGACCGTGAACAAGATTGATATTTTTGAGATGATGACATCATCTGGCAAGAAATTGATCTGAACACATGGTATACTGTAATAAAATATAGGAGTCTATACTATGTTGCCTATGTTGAATATTGAAGTTTAGGTATTTGTCTTTGTAAAAATGTAACAAGTAAATTAAAAGTACAAATTAATATTCAAAATGATTTTGAAGACAGTTTTGACCGATCCAGATTTATAATATGTACCTTTAATGAAGAACACATATTGTCTTCGGGTTGAGGAGTGTGTAGCAAGTTTTCTTGTTTTCTTCGTCTTACGTTTTAATTCCTTTTCTAATCTTCTGATTTCTTCGTCGCAACTTGAATCCATAGCCACAAATTTGAACGTATATGCTGAGAAAAATATCAGTCAAGTAAACTTACTAGTTACCGTCAGAAAACATGGATAGTAATATGTGTCAGTTTTCGACAATAAAACTAAAAGTTAATTATTCGACCCATCAAAAAATATAATTTTGGCTTAGATAAAAACTAACTAAAAATTACTCATGTTGCCAAAAAGGGGAATCGTAAACACAGAATTTGTACAGTAAATAACAAAAATCATTTAAATATTTAAAGTTAGACTGGTTCCGACGACAATTTTGCTTCAGAGTCGTGAAGTGGTTTATGTTTTTACTGAAAATGGGTTCGACCTCAAAAGTAAGATGTTAAAGTTATAACTACTTCCATATGATTTTTTTAATATGTTTCAAAATGGAAAAATTTTTATATTTTAGAATGTGTTCCCAAAATTTGTAAAAGTAAATCTGAGTTAAAATTTATAGAGTAGAAATGATGTGGTTCAATAATGTGTCTATATTTTTAACGATACGTACCTATGCGAATCATCGTAAAAAAAAATAAACTTTTACAAGCAAATTTAAGCTTTAGTGGTGCTTATAACATTTATATTTTTCAGAATCGTTTATATAGAATGTTTAAAAAAACTATAAATCACTTTCTTGGTCAAATTTCTTGGGACGCAATAATAGTAATTTTATTGTAATTGCACTCTAATTCTTATCTAACGTATCAACATTGACACATTTTTGCCACTTTAAACTTGCTGACATCATCTCATAATGTCATTGTATCTTATGCTTATGTAGTAGAAAGTAGAGGCACGAAAGCATGATGTCCACGTAACGATACACGGTTCATTCAAATTCTGTGTTAACGGTTGTTAACACAGAATTTGAATAGCTTGAGAAGAGCGAAAGGAAATCTTGCTAATATTTATGATATAATTGACTTAAATTGGGTGAAGCCCTAGAATGATCTGAAACTATTTGATGAGTCACAGAATCCTGTCACTATTTGCATTATCAAAATCAGCGATTATTAAAAAGTGATTATTTTCCGAAAAAATACATAGTGGAATATATAAAACAAAAGTAAAGAAAGTATGCCAATTATCAATAATCACAATATCAATAGAAAAACAATGTTGGTTATTGATGAAAGATCAATTTCAGTGCAATAGCAAGTTTTTAGCAGCAAAAATAATTGCATCCTCTCTAGATAAACTCGTATAATCTATACGGCGCATGTGGTGGGAAAGAGTTCTCTATGAAGAATATCACTAGATAATATCATTTAGAGAGCATTAAGTTACAAGAAGAGCCATTAGAACACAAATTTGGAGGTTTACCACAGCTAGAAACGTAACGCAAGTTTTAGGCCGTAAGTTTTGTACATATTGGTCGAGGCAATTGCAAGTTGTAATAAATTCGTTAATGACTGTTATATACAAGAAAAAGTACCCGCACATTGTAAATTCTGACCGTAATTTTCAACTTACCCGTCAGGAAGTTCACTTATTTTTGAAATTTATAATCACAAAAATAAAATTAACTGAAATCTTGATTAGTAAAACGGCTAAGAAAGGAGAACGGGAAAGCAGAGTGCAATGAAGCAGCGTTGTGTTATTCTAAAATTAAACCGAAGGGTAGTCCGTAACTGAACGGACATCTGCGGTCTGATTATCATAACTATAACCCTCATCAATTTCGGCCATATTATCAGTTCGATTTCTGCCCCCGTGTTTATCTGACCCACACGCTTAACTGGGGAACTGGACAGTCTTTTATCCCAAAAGCGCGCATCTTCATCGCCGATATCTCCATTCATTACGAGTGGATAGATTAATAAAATACTCCCTCTTCCATTTTAGTGGTACTCTTCGATCATGCATCGAAACGCAAAGAACCCCCAAGAACCTTCTATTATATTTTGTATGCACTAAAGTAAATCAACAAAATTTAGAAAACATGTTTCTTCATATTTACCTCTTCGAGTTCGGTATTATAAAACAAGGTGAAAATGGATATGTGTTTCCATAACTGCAACTACGTTTTTTACAAAGCTATTTTAAAAAATTACCCAAATTAAATTATTCTTATCATTTGCGTTATAAAGTTAATTTCTTGTGTATGGTACTGTTTTTTTTTTACCTTACAGCAACCCAAGACACATCCATTCGCATCATACTTACCAAAAATCAGAGAAGTTGTACCTCGAAATGAAAGATTTTAATGTTCAGCACAATATAAAGTATACTGTGCTAAGCTGCAAAAAGGCATTGTTAATACAAATACCATATTTTCAAAAGAATTCTAAAACTTGCTGCTGATTGTAAAACGCCTACTTTCACTTTTAATTAGTGCACTTTTTGTCTGAAACATTATCTAGAGTCATAGGTAAAAGCAAAAATCATCGCATAGGTATTGGAAGATTTGAGTTAATAAAAAATATTTATTTATATACACTCAACAAATAAATATATTACAACCCATCAGGTTGGCCAGTATTATTGAAAAACCTCTTTCTAACCACTAGTACTCCAAATATGACTACGAGCAATGCAGATACTGCAATCAGTGCCCACTTGAACCCATCTAGTATTTGAACTTTATCAAAGTATTTTGAATGTAGTTCATCTGTATATTCTTCAGTCAATGCAACCCCCTGTAGAAATGTAGAAATGAGTAAATTAAAATATGTTGGTTTTACTTATATGAAGAATATATTTACGTACTTCTTCTATCCATAGCAAAGGTAAAACAGCCTTTGTGGTATCAATCAAAGATTTTATCCCAGCAATGGGTCTAATAACCGCATTTAGCTGAATTCTTTTAACTCCCTTTAAGGGAGTTCCTGTGTTCTAAAAATAATTACATAAAATATTTATGAGCTCTATATGTATATAAATACTAACTGGTTCAACTAAAAGATAAGTCCTGTGTGCTTCTTCATTAGGACTTAGTCCATCTACACCATTTAAATATTTTTCATCAGCCCACAAAAAGTGTGGGAAGGAAAACAGTACTGGAACACCTAAAAAATAACGTTACATATTAAAAAATATATATGTGAGTTTATATTAATTTTACCAAAACAACTTTGCATATCTATAACACCGTCTAAAAAGCAGCTATTTTGACCATCGACATCTTTACTTTGCTTCGTACAAAAGCAGTCAGCTTCTGAATTATTAGTAGAGGGCTGCAGTGTGTTCTTATCTGTACCAAACATGTAGCCATCTACATCTCTATAAGTTTCTTCTCGTATATAATTAATTTTTACGGACCTAAAAAATAATTTAGAATAGATTTAAAAATATGGAGGGTGTTACACATCAATTGATTACAAATGATTTCAAAACTGCTACACGTGCAAGAAACAAATTCTGCGGTGGAAAATGTAGACATTATGGTTTGGAAATAGGTATGTAATTTAATTCTAATAATAAAATTAATTTAACAATAGAAACATGAAAATGAAAATCTTTGAAAACAGCTTGAAAGTTCTGTTAAAAAAACAAAAATTACCTTCAGTTACTTTCAAACTGAAAGAATTACGCCAGTTTTACAAAGTTACTAAATAGGATATATTTTGTAAATCCTATCCACACAGGTAGTAGTTTTGAAATAATTTCAACAAATTAGCTAAAATAAAATGTCGTATATATTGGAAAGTAAGTTAATTATATATTTTGTAGAAGTATATTTTACACACCTGCAAATATCTGTGGCAAAGATATAAAATTCATTGTCTTTAGTAATTCTCGGAGGATAAAGTGTTGAATCAGTTCCTCTGACTTCACTACATGTAGTACCGTCCCCCCAGTAGCTGGTATATTTCATGCCGTTCCAGGCCGATATATAACCTAAACGATCGATGTCATCGAGACCTCGTTTTACAGTATACTTGCCGTCGGGTTCTCTCACTTTCTATAAACTTAAAAAATTAAATGGATTTTTACGAGGAACTATAAACTACTAACATAATTGAGGAATGAAAATTGTAGCGAATAATCAGCCAAAATATCAGAGTTTCGTTTTGTTGATGCTATTGTACACACAATGTCGTTGACAAGAGAACACAAGTCACTACCCTTATTTCTGCAAAAATTGAAGCCTTCGAACATCAGATGTCTTACAGGCACCTTAATAAAAATTTCGTCATAACCCGCTGGAAACGTGGGCCTTATACATTTATCTACTGCTCCTGCTAACATGAAGCCTTCTGCAAGGTGGTAAACTGACTACAACATTAAAGATTACTGACTGGTTTACATAGTGTTCAAGTTAATGAATGTTAGATTATGGCAGCGCTCTTCCAAACAAGTCTGTTTTAAAAATTCGATACAGATTTGTAAGAACTGTGAAAAGTCAGTTTTGCTTATTGTTAGATGTAATTTATTAGAAAAAAAAATATAGGTATAGCTACTTTTGCTTTGATAAGAAACTGACATCAAATATTTGTAGTACTCAGCTACCTTGATAATAATTTATTTGTTCAGAGATAATCTAATTGACTGGCATGATTTTTATGCCCGTTAACAATAACGAATTTGAAATATGGGAAAATTAGAGGTTATCTGTGCTATTTTTCGCGACCGACTTCGCTTTCTGTTTACAAACAACAAACTTATGATTCGAGAAAATGTTTATTTATATCTAGGATATTAGTTGATTAATTTTTCATTTATACAGTGAATGAACGACAGTTCCCTGACTTACCAAACCGTTAAAATGTTTTCATTTCTTGAAATAAAATGGTAGGTACTTGATATATGGCAAGGCCTAAAACTCTTCATTAATTAAAAAACAGCAAAGTACCTCTGGTGCAATATTTACACTTAAAGATTTCGCACAAACATAATACAACATTCATTTCGATAAGAAATTCAAAATATTTTACCATCAGAGGAGGATTTAAAACAGTTATCATATCATCCTCTGTCAAAGGTGCCGACGATTCAGCATCGAATTCAAATGTTTCCATTTGGGTATATGAAATTGTATCTTCGTCCTCATCTATTTCTAATATTTTTTTGTGTCTGTATTGCCTGTAATGAAAATGACCTACATGCAGGAGAAATCATTACAGTAAAAAATAAAACTTGCAAGCGATTACATATAATTTTTTTTTAAATTACTAACAATAATTAATAACAATTAATAAACAATAGTTTCTTCTGGGATGGTATGTGACAGTAAGTTGGTTATTAGTTTTGATGCGTTATTTTAAAACTTATAATTTATAATTATAAATCACGAAAATATTAAAATGACTAATTTATAATTGCTTTAAAAAAATCTCCTTAAGTGTACAATTTTTTAATTTATACAAATAAAAAGCAGCAACATAATACATAAAAACTGCCATGAGTTAGAAGCATGTTTAAATTTAAAAGGAATCCAAATAATAAAGTTAACTGAATTTACTCAGGGAAGCTGAGATTTGTAAAATTTAATTCGAAGCGTATAGTTTTCTTTAATTTTGTAAACAATTAATGTTAAATATACCTCATTACTTTCAGTGTTAAAATCTTGGTTGCTTGTACCTAATATAATTGTAGGCCATAATACATTTTATAAAAATAAGCAGGACACAGCTTTGCTACATACTTACTTGTAAATATAAGGTCCTTTTTCACTTAATTTCGGTTTGGCAGTACCCTTTAAAATTTCATCTGGATTTTCAACATTAAAAAGATAAACTTTGAATGTGAGTGGAAATGGTAGATCAAGAAACCGGTCATACTGCTCCGTACCTTCGTCAAGCCTCGTAGCCTAGAAATTAAAATAGAGGTAGGTAAAAATAAAGACTTTCATTGTGAATATTTTTTACACATGTTTTTGCATTTTACTCATCACTTTGTTATTTACAAGAAAAAGGAAAAACAATTCATCACAGTACAGACAATATAACTAAACAACAGAAGGTAACAAGTTAAAATGTAATTGACAAAAAATGGCAAGATTCATGTCTATAAATTCGAATATACTAAAAAAGGCATGATCTACTAAACACTTCGTGAGCATCTTTTTCCATTTAATTAAAGGGAAGGTTTCGGCGAGAGCGTGAAGTTTTTTGGAGATATTCCTTTATTACCATACCTACTCAATTTAAGCCTTGTTATTAAAAACTAGCTGACCCCGTGAACTTCGTTTCACCTACAATTTAATTTTGAATCTGCAAAATCGAATGCTTTGAAATCTTGCAGATGTTTTAAACATATGATAAGCATAATAAATTTTTATTCAAAATATATTTACTTATCCCCTCCAAAAAACTGATGACGTCAGCCCAAAATTTTGCCAAATGAATCCTATCTAAAATGTCCAAAATAGGATGAGACTATACTTGTGATTTATCATTCCATTCATATTTTTTAATTTTGCTTATCTCAAAAAAATTAATCACTGAGTCAATTTATTTTATTGATTGAATCAAGAATTGCAAAACTGAATTTTGAAATATTGCAGACGTTTTGAAGTTACTGTTTGACATGGTAGGTTTTCAATCAAAATATATCTGTTTATCAAGCCCAAAAACTTGAAGACGTCATTTCAAGATTTTGCCGAATAAATCCTATCTAAAATGTGGAAAACATCATCAGTATATTTTCATAATTTATCATTGCATTCATATTTTTTAGATTTGCTTTTACAGTGACTCAAAAAAATATATGGATCAGTCAATTTATTTTAGTGAATAACTCAAGAGTTGCAAAAATGAATACATTGAGATCTTGCAGACATTTTAAAGTTATTGTAAGCATGGTAAATTGTTAAGAATATTTATTTATTCCCCCCAAAAAATTGATGGAATGGCTCACTCGATTTTCGCATATAATTTTGGGAATACAATACAGTTATTTTTAGTATTACACTGCACCAATCCAAGGTGGTATACGTGTTGATAGTAAATGTTGATGAGGTCATCACAAAATTGTGTGAAGAACAGACTCAACTCGAAAATGCTGAATAGGTTTCATTATACTTTTGGTGGTACAATGGTTGATATAAATAAAACTCAGTAGATGCTCATACTCGAAATACGAAGTATCTACTCGAACATCAAATCAAAATATTTCTAGTTTTTCTAGATGATACTAATACGTAAGTAACAGTTGATGCCCAAGTAGCATCTCGATACAACAAAAAAGGACAACAGTGGCAGTGTTCAACCATCAAGGCAAAAATCGAGTCACCAAAATATAAGTTAGCATGGGGTAGACACCTTGAGATGGGAATCTCTATGGCCAGTGTTAAAAGTGTATAAAAACGCACTGCACAATTTGTGCATAAATAAAATGAAAAGTTTTCGATATTCCTGCTCCTAATGTGTTTTTCAAACTGAATGCACCTTTTGACGACGTTCCACGTTCATGAAAGTCACCATGTTTAGTTAAAATTCACTCTTACAAAGTTCTTACTGGTTTTCTAAGCTGCTTTACAGACAGCTCAGTTATTTGCCACGCCGATGCTCATTTCTAGATTAAATGCTCACAAAACGCGTAGATGTTCAGTTTGTGTCCGGGGAGATACAATGTTTCCAAGTAGGTACTCAGTACATAGAGTAGATGCTCAGGTATATAAGAGTAATAATGAAGTAGGTACTTCGTACTTCGAATATGAGTATCTACTCAGTTTTATTCATACCACCCAATGTCTCGCTTCAATCAGTTCAATGTTTGATTATGTTGATTATGAGCACAACGCTGATCAACTTCCGTATCCGAATTACCTATGAAATAAATCATTGCGGTTTGCACCTGAGGTAGTTCGTCGCACATTTGATTGACTTCGTGGACCTATGTCAGCTTGTCGTCTTCTCTAATGAACTTCATAAAACGACACAGAATTATTTTCACAGTCAATCAAATCTGTAAATTTTGTCTTGAGAATTTTAAAATATTGAAAACTTCAAATTAAATCCTCGAATAACGGTAAAATTTGAGGTTTTGTCGAAACCAACAAAGTGAATATAGGTAAAAAGAATGGCAGATCAAAATGAATAAGAAACTTTCGCAATGTGTAATTAAATTCACTTTAACCAAGACTTTTCTTAAAATAAACGACGTTTTTTTTTACGAAAAAACAAAGAACGATTTGAAATGCAATATACTTTTCACAATCGCACGGAAGAATTAGTTTTGTATGACACGTCAGTTAGACGACAGGTCCGTCAGAAACGCCAACTATTGAAATTAATTCGAAGTGGCGATTCCCATACAAAATGTTTAGAATTTTTTTATTTTTTAACTGTTCTTTTAAGTATATCCTTATTTTTTTTATTTATAAACCATCCCCGTAATATAAAAAAAAATTTCAAATCGGTCAAGCCGTTTTTGAGTTTTAGCGAGACTAACAGGAACAACAATTGATTTTTACTTTATAGACGATTAAAAAATGGGGGTTGGTGGTAGAAAGGTGAAAATTTAGGGTTATCTGTATTTTTTGATGCCAAATCTTAAAAAAATAAAAATAAAAAATTTTGTCCAAAAAATAGACAAGCATTTTTTAGGGTGGGCCACCCTTATCACTTAGGGGTTTAAAAATAGTTTACAACTTATTATCAGACCTACTGAATATACATAAAAAATTTCATACAAATCGGTCAACCCATTTCGGAGAAGTTCGGTTACAAACACTGTGACGCGAGAATTTTATACATAATGCATTATTATTTTAGAACAAATTTCATTACCATAAAAAAGGTTATACTGACTCGACCTTAAAAGATAGACATATGCTGTCGCGGACTTTTCTTTAGAACTTTTAGAGGGGAACAATTTCGTCATACATGATTTTTACGTAACTTTAACCGTTTAAGCAGCGTAAGCAACGGAAGCTGTCAAAGGAGGAATAATTTTCCCGTTTTTCCGAATTTTTCATTGCTACTTCGCTCCTAATGATCGTAGCGTGATGTTATATAGCCTATATGTAGATATGATACATGGACTATCCAACACAAAAAGATTTTTTGAATTTGAACCAGTAGTTTCTGAGATATGCGTGTTCAAATAAACAAAAGCTTCAGCTTTATTATATAAGTATAGAAGTATAGATGTGTACGTAAGCGAAGAAAAATGTTGTTACCTCGGTGGGAATCGAACTCGAGCCTCTCGCTTTCCAGGCAAGCATCCAGACCACTAGATCACGAGCCGACTTATCTTTCTTCGCTTACCGACGTGTTATTGTGCCGCCACAGAGTATTTGCAAACTTTGTGTTTTAGTTGTAAAATTGAAAATTTGTGGTGACTGCATTGACCATTGTATGTATTCACACAAATGTTAAATACAGAGCATTTCAATGAAAAGTTGTCACCTTAAATAAGTAATTTATCCATTGGTTGGATTATTTTGAAAAAAATTCAAAAGCAATTTCCGAGACAGTAGATTGCCAGAAGAGAAGTTCTCCAGGTCGGCCAGATCACCAGATCTCACTTTATTTTTTTGCTATCTTAAGTCAGTCATGACTAGAATCTTTGAATGAATTAAGGGAAAGGATCATTTGGGAGCATCAAAGTAGGTAATAATTTTGGCAGTTTTGCGCAATATACATAGGTCTAGATATATTTTTTTAATTTGAATTCAAGCTCAAACACTAGATGAAGTCAGTAGAGCTCATTTTGAACATCTTATAAGATTACAGTTAATTAATAACCCATATAATAAACTTAAAATGTTAGTTGACTACTGACAAATTCATTAATAGTTAAAGAGAGGTATCCACTTTCTATGGTTAATTATTATTATCAAAACCGTAAAACACATGTTGGTAATATTATTTTACCAGAACAGTAATACAGTATGACCATGACCTAATATAGAGAATTAATGTGTTGGACTAGCTTACGTGTATTAGTTACAGAGTCCCTTTATCTAAAAACTTTTGCGTGCCTCGTTCATGTAGCAGCAAAGCAAATAAACTTTTTTAATTTTAAACATGAAAGAATTTCCTTGAGTTTTCGAATAAATGAAAAAACAAACTCTTAAATTCTCCTCCTAAATTAAAGTTGAGTTGTTTTTAGATTTTTTTCAAAATAAAAAGTTAATAGTTCATTAGGGTGATTCCTTCTCTTGAAATGCCCCGTATATGTATAAACGTGACAACACCATGACAATGTTACTCTATAATTTAAATGAGAATGGAGACTGAGGTATGTATAATTGTATACATTCGTAATCAGAGTACTACGATTTATAATTTTTATTCCTTTAGCATAATTCCCGACACATTAGCGTTATCATCACTTATGAATTGTTTATTGTAAGAAAATTTAATGATCTGTATTTGATCTCGATTAAGATCTAGTAGATTTTCTATGAACCATTTCTAGGGTTTACATCCATATATCAGGTGTATAAAAATTGTAGGTCGACCCAAACAGGACAATTTGCAATGTTTTCTAGACGCATCACTTACTACGAGTATAAACGCAAAAATAAAAAAAAAAATCAGTGAATGTATCAGAACAATCCATGTAAAATGAATGTTATCCTATTCTAAATTGTAGAGAGCGTTTATTAGCAGAAAAGGGTTATACAAAATAGTTTTACCAAAATTGAAAATTCCTAAATACAGGGTGCCTCAGAAATAAGTGCATTAATTTTAACCTCTAACAGAACATGGGAAACGAAATAACTTTTTTATATAGCATTTTTTCGGAAACTCAAGTCGAATTTAGAATTTTCCCACCCATATATTCACGAGCGGTCTATCTTCACCTTAAATAATAACTTAAATAATAACAACATTACAACAATAAAAAAAAAAAAAA